AAAATAGTGCATTACGCCCGGGTGAGCAGAGTAGAGGATTGGTTAAAACAGATTATGCTTTGTGCCTTAATCAAATGATACACTTATAGGTTGAATAGCAGCTTTTATAACTTATTCTAACATAATTTCATCTCATCTAATGCATCTCATAAATACTTTGATTTATTTTTATTTTATAGTGATAGCTCAGTGTCAGCACACTTGTTTCCAATTCAATATACTCAAGCAACCTGAGTTAATACTAAATCTTCGAAATAATGATAGTTAAAATAAAAAAAAATTCTGGGATTTTCTTGTAAAAGCATATACATTATCTCATAGAAGAATTTATCATTCTATGCAATCTAGTTATGGGTAGAATTTATGTTTGTTCCTAGTATTTATATTATATCACTAGCAACCTGCCCGGTTTCGCAAGGGTGCAATGCTGAATGTTTGTTTTCGATGTCGCATTAGAAAACTCTAAAATCATCAGTGTTTCTATACAATATTATGCATGAATAATACATAGAAACCTTCCTCTTGAATCACTCTGTCTATTAAAGAAAACCGCATCAAAATCCATTACATAGTTTTAAAGATTTAAGCATATATAGGGACAGACAGAATGCAGGACAACTTTGATTTATACTATGTAGTGATTCACATTATCATGTCTTGTTCATTCTTATTTTTATGGACATGCATTTTCAAGTATGTACTGAGTAGCAACAAAAATATTGAATTTGAATCTCTTTGAACAAATACAAAGTGGGACATTGTATAGGCTGATACTTCAGTTTTTTAGAGTGTCAGACAGTTAAAGTAACTTTAATTTTATTTTTTAAAAAGAAGTATCTATCTGAATAATTTCTTTTCTGTACCCAATCACTGGTAAATATTATACGTCAATAAATAGTTAAAATAGTAGCTCTAAATAATTTAACTAAACATAAAACATTACCTGCCTTCTGAATTTTCTTAAATTGAATTCTTTGTAGATGGGAGCACAGCCGCAGTAATGTTCCCTGCACTGCAGCCACTTCGGGAGATATCGTTCTATGTTTGTAATCAAAACGAGATAATGTTTATCAAGAATAATTATTCTCAAATATACAAAGCTACTTCGATTTTTATCTATTATTTTTAATATACTTGGATTAAAGCATCTAAAGCCCAATCTACATTTGACAACAACAAACTAGAGATGTGCGTATTTACGTTACCAGGTATTGTACCGGGTATGTCCTTGCAAGTATACCAAACAGGTACCGACCCGATATACTTGCAAGACTTGAAAGTATTTTTCCGTTAAAGTATCCCTTCCCACTAGCCCTTCAAAATATTACTACGTCGATCTAACCCGAACGTTGAACGAATCTAAATTCGAATGTGATTTTCTCGTCGTTCGGTGCTGTTCGGCTGGGCTCAGGGCATGCGCCGTGGGATGGCGAAGCAAATATCATTATAATACCAGGTATATATATAATTATAGTGCTAATCTCTGCACTTAAGATTAAACATTAAAACTTGTAGAAGGAGTACGAAAAGATTGTCGCCGCTGTGGGAATCGAACCCACGTCTTCGGCATTTGCGGCCTGACGCCTTAGCCACTAAGCTAAACGGGTGATTGCCACACCGATGAAAATCTTAACGTCTTTATCTACATTGTTATTTAGCATTTGAAGCAATGCTTGGCGCATCTATTGTTATATCCTTTCCAGCATACAAACAATTTCGAATATCGTTTTACAACGATAACTTCGAATGAGAGATGTCGCTATTGCTTTTTAGAAATTTAAAGTTTTTTATAGTGCTAATCTCTGCACTTAAGATTAAACATTAAAACTTGTAGAAAAAGTGCGAAAAGATTGTCGTCGCTGTGGGAATCAAACTCACGTCTTCGGCATTCGCGGCCTGACGCTTTAGCCGCTAAGCTAAACAGCTGACTGCCACACCGACTTAAATCTTAACGTCTTTATGTACATTGTTATTTAGCATTTGAAGCAATGCTTGGCGCATCTATTGTTATATCCTTTCCAGCATACAAACAATTTCGAATATCGTTTTACAACGATAACTTCGAACGAGAGATGTCGCCATTGCTTTTTAGAAATTTAAAGTTTTTTATACTGCTAATCTCTGCACTGAAGATTAAACATTAAAACTTAACGTCTTTATCTACATATTAAAACTTAACGTCTTTATCTACACTGTTATTTAGCATTTAAAGCAATAAATAACAATGTAGATAAAGACGTTAAGATTTTCGTCAATGTGGCAATCAGCCGTTTAGCTTAGTGGCTAAAGCGTCAAGCTGCGAATGCTGAAGACGTGGGTTCGATTCCCACAGCGGCGACAATCTTTTCGTACTTTTTCTACAAGTTTTACGAATCGTGTCGATATCGGTAATACTTTGATCATAGATGTAAGTAAAACCGGGACCCACCGTCGGGGGTCCCGCCAAATAACACTACACACTCAGTTAGTGCATCAACAAACACCATAGCTCGTCCTCGCCTTCGAGCACGGTGAAACCAACACAACGCGAAAATATTAAATACATGCACGGCCCTACCCACTGAGGAGGCACTCAAACCCGTGGGCTCTGGCTAGCCCACCAGTTCTGCGTTCGATGAAGCTTTAATAGTCTAAGGACTGACGTAAAATCAGTTATATAAATACAAAAAGTAAGACCTGCCAAGTGCGAGTTGGACTCTCACAAGAAGGGTGTCGTACCAGTATCTATAAAAACAGCAAAAAAAAATTATGTCTGTTGTATGGGAGCCCCACAAAAATATTTGTTTTATTCTGTTTTTTAATATTTATTGTTATAGCGGTAACAGAAATACATCATCATTTAAGGACGTTGAAGTGGGATTACTGCCACTTACTGCTTGATATTTTTTCTTGTAATAGTTCAAACGAAAACGCCACGAATACATTTATGTTATTCATAAATGAAATCTTAATTTCTAGATTTTAGTGTGTATTTTTCAAATAATAGCATTTAACAATTAAGTTTAAATATTGTGAATAGGTAATGCCAATAGCATCTAGTGGAAGTCAATGGGGGAGGCCTATGTTCAGCAGTGGACGTCCTACGGCTGATATGATGATGATGATGATGAATAGCATCTAAGATACATTAGAAGTTCAAAATACGACACAAGCACTATACCTACCATCGTTTGGTAATGAAGTTCCTCCAACGGGAAGAGACAGGGAAAACAGTGGAAGTGGTTCTCGCAATCCCTGTGACAACCACTTCTACTGTTTTCTCTATTCCATGTTTGAGACGACTGACTGTTCTGAGTCCTACAAATGTGTCTTACATTCTAATTTTATTATGTAACTTAAAGAATGTTCTCATATTTCTGTCTGGCGAACGCGATGCTTTTGTCTTTGCCAGCAATTTCTTTAGAATTGTTATTCATCCACCGGTTATCGCTATGCTGACTGAGCGGTCTCCAATGCGGATGTTCTTATCAAGCGTTTTGTCGCATAACTACGTTTCAAATAAGAGTTTAAATAACAACATTAATGACCTCGAATGACCGCGATCTTTCAACTGACAAAGAAATGGCTTGCAAAGAATATGAATTTCACACTTGACTACATCTATTGAAGTCATAATAAGTTTATATTTTTCACTTCATAAACTATGTACTTTCAAAAATGTATCGGTAAGGATTACGGGGAGAATCACCATCTAACTTGTTTTTCCTGTGTCCTCGGGTCGTTTACCCTTTTTGCTAAACCGTTCAAAGCCGCAGGGCTAACAGCAAGATAAATGAAGCTACTTCTGTTACGTTATATGTTATATTATCTGTGATTTTACCAAATAAATTATTTAATACAACCCTGTGGTTACTTGACAGCTTGACGCTAGCTGTGTTTTCTTTTCGTGTCACTGTCAACTGTCAAATAGTTGAGTCGGTCAAGCTTCGGATGTTATAATTTGGCGGGATGGCAAAAAACGTTGTCCATAATCATATTTTCCTTCAATTTAATGCGTGAAAATAATACAAAACGACACTAAAACATTACATACGACAAGAAAAATATAATGCTAAGGGATTTTCAGTTTTGAGAGAATCAAAACGCCGACATGGGTGCAAAGTTTTTTGTGTACGCGGGCAGGCGCTGGCGTGAGTTGGATACCGAAGACGGAAGCTTGGAAGGCTGGGGCCGCGCGAGATTCGTGTACTTACGACGTGGACGGTTAAATTTGGCCAGGAGAGGAGCGGTGCTCCGCGCGCTTCGGGCATTGGGGACAGGTTGCGGCGTCGCAGCGAGGGATGGCTTGCCACTGAGGTAGGTCATTGTAGTCAGTAAGTGTAAAAACCAAAAATAGCAAGTACTAAAAGTATTAGAAATTACCAGCTATATTTTTCAACGTGTTGGGTCGCAACGTAGCGTCGCTAAATTTTTATAAGGGGCTAGCGAAAACCCTATAGTAAACCATATAGTAAAAAGAAAAAAGTTATAACGATAGTTTCATTCAGTAAAGGTTAAATAAAAGCCTTAGGTGGATGAAAAAGTCAATAGAAATTAATAAAATACTTGATCAAGACATCATCATATTTCATTAATTAACTTGATCAAGTATTCCCTTTCCTTTTATCCAAAAGGAACCCAAACTGACATTCTTGAGTTCAAAATGCAACATTCCTTCAGCAGATTTTCGTTCTAGATTGGTCCCTTAACTTGCCTCATTTATAGCCGTATTTAAAAAAGGATTTATGAACCACCTTTGCACAGTATTCTCTTATTGTTCTTGTCTTCCCTCTTTCAGTGAGAGATAAAGTCAATTATTATCTTTACATTGTTATGGAGGCGTTTTGATATGTAATTGATATGAAAATATGCCTTTTTAGATACTTCATAATGAAATGAAACTGTTTGCCGAGAGCTGGCAGGAAGAGTTTTATCAATATTTTAAAAATATTAACTTGAAGTAAGAAGGCCAGATACCGAAATAAACATGAACAATTAAAAAAAAATGGTATTTTCTTATTTTGAAAAGTTCAAAAATTTATTTGAGATTTTATTTTATATTTTAATACACTTGGCATACTACAAGCAGAGAGGTACTACACAGATTTAGAACAGCCTAAATGGTTAGCCAAAAACTAGATATGACTTGTCTCTGATCTAACATGTTTATAGCTTTTATATCTAGACCAATTGAACTTGTAATCATTAATAAAAAATGTTCTGGAATATTTTAAATGTTTCAATTATTTATAATTAATGATTTAAAAAACAGGATTTACATGCTGTTTTTGTCTACACAAATTTGATATCTAGAAATAAATTGAAACAAGTATCATTCCAATTAGTTTTTCAGCATGAGGCTGTACATTAATTGATTTAATGTAAAAAGGCTCAAATGTTTTTCCTTTCATTATCTTTTAAAGGGTTCCATATCTTTTTTATACAGTTTGTACAATAGGTACCCTCTTAAACCTAACCTATGCTTTACAACTCCCACTTAATCACTTTGCCATATGTGATAAAAACTCAGTATATAATTAATTAATAAAATTTAATTATATAATTACAGTAAATATGAACCCCCATCAGAAGCCAGTGGAAGAAACAGGAAAGTGCTCATGCATGCTACATGTGTCAATCGCGATGCGGGCTCATTTCTCATCATTGTGCACAGTGAGTTTTTGTTTTTAACCGACTTTAAAAAAGAAGGAGGTTTCTCAATTTGACCATATATATATATATATATTTTTTATGTGTGTTCACGGATAACTTCGTCATTTACAAATCGATTTTTATAATTCTTTTTTTGTTGGAAAGCATATATCTCAAGGGTGGTACCATGATAAGGAAACCGAGATCTGTTTATGGTATCCCAGAGCAATCGAGGGCAATCCTCAAATGTTATAAGTGTTGACAATGTTTTTTAGTTTCCTGTTTAAAGTCTCTTTTTTTGTCCAAATTATTCCCATAATGTAATAGTATGTTAATTAATTCAATGAAACTTAATAAAGGAACTTTAAATAGTTGTTTATTCAATTTCAAATTTGCTTAAAGAGATACTGTTACAGTGAAGGTTGAAGAAAACTACATGTTAAAACTGTGGTCGAACTTTATTTATTTAAGATATGGAAGACTTACAGCTATAAAAACCTAAACTAGATGACAAACAGCCAATAACAGCCTACACTCATAGGAATATTCTAGTTAGAGAGCAGACAAGTACTGTATTTAATTAATATGGTAAATTAAAAATTACAAATAAATATTATAATTTAAATGTCCCTGTATGTGTGCAGGTGTGCGAAGGACGCGAAGTTTGATCGACTGCTGAGGCCGGAGACGAGCGAGGCGGGCGTGCAGTGCGTGGTGACGGCCAACGCCGGGGTCCAGGCTACGCTGGCCGCTCACTCGCAGCGTAGCGGCAGCCAGCTTAGATGGAACCGAGAGGAGGCAGCCGCTGTGACGTCACAGGCCAGGCGACAGAAGGGCAGGAGCCGGCGGCAGAGGGCGGGGAAGGGGCGCCGCTCGCTGAGCTCCAATGACGCCCTGACGTCGAGCAGTGGAGGGCGAGGAGACGACCTCTTGAAGGTAGTTGCGGTCCAAAGCCAGATCCTCATTGAAGGTTAAGTAATGCACGATGAACGGTGCACTGACCTTAGGCTCTTCTTTACTATGTTCGGTAATATCATCATACAACATCGTCATCACCAAACTTATTAGTCAACATTGTCGCAAGGACATATACAGGGAGGCTTTTCTAAGTGTATCGATTTTTTTTAATCAAATTCTAGACATAAATAATGTTATATAAAAATGATAAATATTTAAAATCACTCTGTAAGTAATTAATTACGTTCATTTGAACTTATCTCAAAAAGTGCGTGATTTATACGCAACTCATTTATTTTACGCGCGATCATTCACAACTAACACGCACACAAGTTCGTTTGTGTGCGTGAACAATAAAATTTAGGTATTTATGAATGACTACCGCGTTGTCAACAACTTGTTTTTTAGAGAATAGAATGGTAATTTTGTGATTTTTTTTTATCTCAATAAACGAATATACTACCGAGTCTGAACCTCCTGTGTAAATTTGGGCACTTTTCAAAAAATCTCCCTGCACAACGCAGCCTAGTTGTGTCTAAGTGTATCTGCATCACTCAGGAGCTGATCATCGACCAGTCGGACGTTACGCTGATCCGCGGTTTCCTGGCGCGGGGCGGAGGGGGGGGCTGGCTCGGCCTCGACCTGGACCAGTTCGACGCTGACGAGGCGTACAGGGAGCGAGTGTTCTACCGGATCAACCCGCTGGTGGTGGTCGAGCGGTGCCCGCGCGTCGGGCGCATGCTGAGCGACGGGCGGGGGCGGGGGCGGACGGACGACCTCTCGATACGGCAGTTCATGACGGTGCTCGGGCTGCGAACAGTGGGCGAGGGCGAGGTACATTTTTTACACAAAACATTCCATTCGAAACGCACGGACATTCCAAACGAAAATCGTATCAAAAACGATTTTTCAAAATCGAATCCAGCACACAGTCCGTAGGTGTAAACCCGTTGTCCAAAAAAAGTGTATTAAGTATTTAAAACTTGAGAGAAAGTGCCGATATACCGATATATATATTTTTTAAAACATTGCCCTTTCTTTGGTATACCGTTATCCTGTGTTGTGAGAATGTTTTAGAAACACAAATTGCATAATAACGATCTAAATCGATATTTTGTCCGCGATATATCAAGGGTGACATTGACATTTTTATAAACATCTCACATTAAATTTACATTCCTCCCCTTTCGACATACAGGGTGACTTTGCTAAGTGTATCCATTTTTTTTTTTAAATTCTGGACATAAATAATGTTATATAAAAAAATGATAAATACTTAAAATCACTCGTTATTAATTAATTACATTCATTCGAACTTATCTCGTGTTTTTTATTTCAATAAACGATTATGCTACCGAGTCTGAACCTCCTGTTTAAATTTGTGCACTTCTCAAAACATCGCCCTGTGTATAGGACGAGGCGCCGCGGCGGTACAAGACGCGGGCCACCGTGCCAGCCCCGGCCCCACCCCCACCCCCTCCGCCTCCCCCTCCCCCTCCCCCTCTCTCGCCGCAACACGACAAGGAGAACGAGGCGAGGAGACGGGTGAGGCGGAGCACCTTCAAGCGGCCCGCCAAGGTGCTCAGAGAAGACAACGACGGAGGGGCGGCACGCTCCTCGAAGAGGGCGCGCGCTTCCAGCGCGGAGTCTGCGGCCTCAGCGCCCAACGGCGCGGTGCTCAGCAGCAGCGATGAGTTCCTCGCGCCCAGGCCGCCGGACAGGTGACGCTCGCAATCCGAAACTCATAATTATAATTCGTACACATTCACAGGCCACAATTACGCTGTTCACAATAAACTGTTCGTGTCCATTCTCGCTTTTTAATGGTCAGCGAGTGAACTAGACTCACTCTTTAGCATAGCCAACAACACCTGTTACCGAGTAGCCAGTACCGGAGTGTAGGTACTCTGGTACTGGCACTCTACAGGTACAATTCTTACAGGTAGACCGTTAGTGTTTGATTATGATGAGGTTACAATTGTTGACCTCCAGACAACACACTGGCAAAAATTTATTTGAGAATTCATCTTTGAATATTACGTTACAGTTCTTGTTTATGTATTTAATGTTATTTAAAGAAATAGTTTAACATTATGTGGGTTATCTAATGGTCAACGATAACGTCGCCCATTAGCATCTGAAGCACTGAGATATTGCCGTTGTTGCCTATGCTAGAGCCTCCTCTTTCACTGACCATTAAAATGCAAAATTAGGCAAGAACAGTTTTTTGTGAACAGTGTTTAATTGTGACCTATGAATGTGTATGCATTATATCGCCTCTCGTAGTTTTGGATTAGAATGAACACTTATATTGATCTGAATATAACCAAGAATCCTACTGGACGAAGAACTTGGAGAAACACTATTCAAGTGCCGCATTTCAGGACATCGCGCAGCGGCGTTAAAGTCGAGAGTGGTCGCAGCGGCGGCAAGGGTAGCAGCGTCGGCAACAACAGCAAGGACAGTGGCAGTGGCGGTGGCGGCAAGGGTGGCAGTGGCAAGAGCGGCAGCGGGCGCGAGTACACCGCGGAGGAGGACGCTGCGATCGTGGCATGGGTGGCAAAAGGGGGGCGCGCTCGCTGCGTCAACGGGAACCGCCTCTGGCGCGAGCTGCAACGCCACCACGCAGAGGCCACAGGGACAGGTGCGAGTCCCGACCCATTGGCTTTACTTTTGCGGAGTAGCAATTACTACTTTTTATTAACACCTTTCATGTATCGTGCTTAATCAACCTTCTCATCATAGTTAAAAGGTTGTATCAGCTACCCAACTCATGTGCTCACAACATATCGTTGAAATAGTGGTTCATTAACATGTTTAACAATGGTAGATAACAGCGTCATCTACTCAGTGAGGGATGTACAGAAATATTATTCTTCTGCCCGGGATACATAGATTAATATTCAATCTGTTTCCTTTAATTATATCAAATATATCATAGTGGCTAACAGACCTTGCTTCAATGCATGGAGCATGTATGTTAAACAAATTCAGGCAGTTTGGTTTCATGCTATGAGCACAAAGACATAAGAATAAGAAAAATAAAAAAAACAATAGAAAATAAATCGTTCCATTTGTAAATACTTATCAATTCGACGGAAATATCTACATCTTGGCTCTCAACAGTGTCTCATAAGTTACCAGGCTCTCGGTTTGAATGCTGTAATTATCTATGAATGTTGTCCCTCACACCCTCATCCATGGACCGTGAACTTGATTTCCTCCAGAACACACGGAACACAACACTTAGCCATTATAAATTGAGCTCGCGGATGAGGCTGCTGGTGTAAGCCAGAGTTCAACGCTAGAGTTTCATGTGATCGGATCGGGGGCGGTGTTTCAGTGCGCTCGTGGCACTCTCTGCGCAACCGCTACCTGCGCTACATCTTGCCCGCCCTGCCGCGGATCGCCAACCCCCGCGACGCCGCGCGCCTCCGCGCTGACGCCGCCACCGGTACCACCACACCACCACCACCACCACCAACCATCCACCAACAACCCACTTTAACCCTTCCTATACTCCCACTACCACATACCTTATATCCGTCTGCAGTGTAGATGTATGTAGACTAAATTGTTGTAATTGATACTCACATAGGCTAAAATATTACTTAAACCTGCTATTATAATGTACACTAATCGTTTTAAAAAAGAGCAACTGTTGAGTTTCTTGCCGGTTTCTTTTGGAGTTTAGAGCTTTCGATTTGTGTTGGAGGGATTGGGTAGTTAAGTCCCAGCGACCACTGTGACTTACAAGGTCTACTGTAGTCTAGCCAGGACTTAAGTTATTCGTTTAATTTTTTAAACGCAAAATCCACTATCACATATGTTTACCATGATTAAAAAAATATATATTAATTGATCACCCATAGTACATCATCTGTCACATTCGCTTATATATAATCTATAAATATATAATCATGTGTTATAATGTAAAGCGGAAAAATTTTAAATGACGCGTAGTATGGACATATGTCACCTATACCTATAGCGTGTCGTTACCACCGCGATAATAAATGAACACACGTCTAACGCTACTTGCCAATAATCATAAAAATAATATTAACGTTAAAAAATCCATAATTAAAAAAAAATATTTTTCAAACAAACGAATTAAGTAAAAAAGAAACAAAATTGTAACATCCTATACAACTACAACTGACTGATTCATACATTCAGAGACTTTATCATGCGTCGCCACAGCGTCGCATTACAACCCTCTCCTTCTTACAATATGTTTTGTCTCTTTTAAATTCATTCAACCCATTCATATGCTTTGTGACTTTTACAAATGAACTTTACGTTACAGTTTTATATGTAATAACTCGGTTAATATTGATGTTTAAAGTTGATTTATTGTCGCGATTGTAAAGACACGCTGTATATTATTAAACATTGCTTATGGGTATAACGTCTTCCATTCATATTTCCGCCGGTTTCGTCAATATTTACTACATCTTTTAATGTTCCATCTTATGTGCAGAGATTAGCACTATAAAAATTTAAAACAATGATATATTTACACATCAATGAATGACTATAGGGGAGCTGAAATCGCGGAAGCAAGAACCGAAGGAGAACTCGATGCTGGTGCTACCGCGGGTTCGCAGCGCGTGGTCCCGCCGCCGTCCCACGCCCACGCGCTCGCCCACCCACTCGCCCACGCCCAGCCCAACTTCACCGACTAAGCCCCCTCGGCGACACACTTCCACTCCCACCGGTAAGCTCTCACAATGTTATAAGACTAAATCAGATCCTGATACCTGTATATCAGGATCTGGTTTTGGCCTTTCTAAAGGTGCCCGAATTCACACAGGAGTTTCAGACTCTGTAGTATAATCGTTTATTGAAATAAAAACAAACTTAAATTTTTTCAAGAAAAATTGCCATTCCAATCCCTAAAAAATAGATCTTGTTGACAATGCGGTAGTCATTCATAAATGCGTCGTATACTTTTGAAACGAACCTGTGCGTGTTAGTTATGAATGAACGCGCGTAAAATAAATGAGTTGCCCATAAATCAGGCACTTTTTGAGATAAGTTCAAATGAATGTATTTAATTGATTATGAGTGGTTTTAAATATTTATCATTTTTTATATATGACGGATACACTTAAAAAAGCCTCCCTGTATATGGATCCCGAATATTATAACTGTGGACGGGGTAATCTTCTGTTGAACGAATGGGTAGGACCCTCTGGGTGTATACCACGAACTCACAGAAGACCGCCGGCGTGAACTGGAAGTGTTACACTTCTGCGTTACATCTGGTGAATGATGTAGCGGGGCCCACTTTAGTAAAAGGTGTCAAGGTGTAACAAATGTCGATGGGTGGCGGCTATCACTTGATACCAGATGAACCGCCAGCTCGCTTTCCACTTTCTCACATAAAATGAAATAAAACAAAAGATCGTACGGAAGATTTTGAATCAAAATTGATGACCCAAAGGGTGTAGTGGGTAATGTGCTTCCAGCGCGAGGAGGTTCGATTACTCACTACTGGAAAATATTTTTTCCAGTAGTGAGTAATCGAACCCTCATGTGTGATAAAAATTGTGTTTTTCTAGTGCATATATGTATAATTTGTATTTATTTTATAACTAAACGCACATCTGCAGAGAAATGGGTGCCCAGACGCACGCCGCGCTTCTCCGAGCTGGCGCGGCGTTTCGCCGACCGTCCGGACGGGGACTCCCCTACTCTGCGCCGCTCCCCGCGCGTCGGAGGGGCACCCCCGCCCCCCTCCCCGCCCGAGCCCGAGCCCGCGCCGGAGCGGCCCCATCGGCGGAGGCTTTACAACCCCCACGCCGGGCTCTGATACTGGCCTCCACCCTCCACTGACTTTGATCCAGCGATATGTGCTGAAGACACAGTGCAAAACAACCAGATAACAGATTGTACTGCTGTGGCCACTTGTGATACATGTGTGAAGTTCTATCCGTTTTCATTTGTAAAAGTGTGTGAAAGGAGCAGATGATTTGTGCTCAAGCGGGAAAAATGTGTTGTTTATACCCAAAGCATGTACCCAAAATGCAACAATGCTAACATTTATATTGCAAGCAGACAAAATTAAATTTCACATAGATGTGAATAGCATGAAAGACCAATAACTTTTTGTATATTAAAATGTTGCCTTATATGAGAACCACAGAGCGTGTTATTATGTTATATTGCTTTAAGCACAGTATAAGTCACTAGTTAACTGATCAAAGATTTGTGTATCATCAATGTTTAATTATTACCCTGTACTTTAGGAGTGAATTTAAATTGATATATTATATAAATATATGATTGTATCCTGATTATGAATCAAATTGACAGCCGTCTTACATGCCAGTTTCAATATTCTATCTGTAGATTTGGTTACTGGAGATCGAATTTTGATGTGATTATTATTGTCAATATCTGTCACTAGTAACGGAATCTACATATAAAATATTGAAATTGGTAATTAAACTATTATTTTTATTAAGGATAGCAGTTGTAAATTGGTGGGATAACAAATGAGCCTGGATTGCCGCGGAAAAAGCTCAGAATGTTAATTAATGTTAAAACTAATTAATGTTGACACTTGTACTTGTTTTTTTTTAAATATGTAACAATTGACTAAATGTTTTACTAATAATTTTGGGCAAAAAAAATGTTTTGATAGAAGCTATGTTGTCAGAAATTAAATCAAACATTTTTACAATTATGTAATAAACACCAACATAACAAAAAGATTAGTAAACAAATAAAACCTAGCTATCAACTAGGAGTGAAACTCAAGCATGCAATAACAGACCGAGACTTCAGGTAGAATTACACTGCATACATAATATCTGCTGCATGGCACCACCAATAGCGTCTAGCTCCAACCTCGACAGCTGCATTAATTTGGCACAATAAACACTATCCTGCTATCTTGAAAGTTAAAAATTATTTGTGTATGGCCAATTTGAGTGTAATTTGTTGAAATGTATAGTTTATTACATATATACTGTTTAAAGAGAATTGTGACAAAGGCAAATGCTTAATGATTGTTACTATATTGTTTATGAAAAGGTTTACTAAGTGTCTTCCCGGAAAGAAGCCAATACAGATTCTTCCTCTGTAAAGTTGAGCTTTATAGAAATTATGCGTGCTTTTGATTGTGTTCTTATATTAATATATATGTAAAATAAAGGTATTTAAAGTTGATTTACTGTTCCTTAACGTTGATTATTGTACTTTAAACAATTATAAATAAACATATTTTGCTTGAAAGGGTCCATAATCATAGTATATGATTGTTAAGTTAGGACTTAATTCTTATTTTGTAATAAGCAATTGTCAGTTTGGAACAATCAATGTGGAAATAATTTACCATTTTATTTTCAAGTAAAACCGTACAATAGCAACAATTATTAGCAATATTAATAGTGTCCTGTATTTTATGACTAAAAAAACATTATTGTAAATGACTGGTATTATCATACTATATTTTCATTTAAATTTCATTATCACTTCTGTAATAATTGGCTCTTATGTATTGGAACTTGATTATAAATGTTATATCTTGAATATTCATCTTTGCATATGGGGATTTGTTTATAATTATTTATCCATTTTTATTTCACAAACATGATTATTAACTTTATCAATGTATTAATTACAAGTTATTAATTATTTACACTAATCCTATCATTTGGAAATCTTTAAATTCAGTAAAAACTTATTCAGAATGTGTATCTGGTATGACAAGTTAGTTGTATTTTCGTCAATATAAATAATATATAGACAGTTCTTTAGCGTCATTAATCCTATAATGTACACTGCATTTATTCATTACATTCGACATAATTTATATCGTTTTCTAAACATACAATATCGGTAATAGATTTATGTACGTATTTTTGTCTATAACATTACTATTTTCTTATCAATTCAAAAATGCGTTCTGATGAAAAATTTAAATTTTTAATAGTGTTTACTACTTTCTCACGTTTTCATTCTTCCATCATTTTTGTTTTCTTTTTGGTTTATTGTTTACAGAGTCTCTGTTTTGAATTTCTTATCATTGGTGTTTCATTTTGGAATATTCCGCATAAACCATTGACAAATGTGATAACCAATAATTGTCATCTAAGTACAAAATAAATATACTCATCAGGCGAAACGAAATGATAGTTTTTCCAATTCAACGCCGATCTTCTGTGATCCTTCCTTGATGGCCCAGTGGCGCAGTTGCCAAGGCATTGACTTTGGTGAAGGCGGTCATGGGTTCGATTCCGACACTGGTCAACTATTTGTGAGACGCAGATAATTGTTTTAGATCTGGGTGTTTGTCCATGTGGAATTTATGTATGCAAAACGTCTTCACAACGCAAGATAATATTATCCTACTATAATAAGGCAATGTTTAAGAGGATATTCGACTGTTGGCTCTACCACAGTAAAATATTGTCTAGGTGGTCTGAATTTAAGAATATGCAGGTAAAACAATGCCATTATTAGTTTATCTTGTTTCAACTTGATTGTTGAATTTGTTCCTAAATGTTTATTTTTTTTTTTTTTTTTTCAATTATAATTTGTTTTTGATGGATAAGCTCCATTATAACAATGTGTATGTGTTTAATATGATACGGTAATTAAGTTTTGGTACATTGCTTATTTTGTAAAGACATTGTCACATAGGTGCAATCATTGTGAAGATAAAGTGCGATTTGAGTAAGTTCTTTTGAGTTAAACATTTATTAAATACATCTGTTTATAATTACACTATTTTATTTCCCACTTAACACTACACACTTTCAGAAAGTTGCTGATAGGTTGATCGTAACAGCAATTTATTTATATAATACAATTGTATGATGTCTCAGCAATTTGTTCAAATTACATATTTTATGACTGAAAATTATTACTCCTATGATCGTTGGGTGCTGCATTAGCGTTCACATTCATAAGTGTTAGGACCACGCAACAGGGGAAGAGCCACGACCATATGGAAGACCGGCGTGTAATGGAAGTGTTACACTTCTGTGTCTCGTCTGGTGAGTGAGGTAGCCGGGACCCACTTCATTAAAAGGTGGCAACGCACTTGCAACCCCAAGGGTGTTGCAAACGTCGTTGGGCGGCGGTTACACTAACCATCAGGTGAACCGTCATTCTCAAATAAAAAATATTGGAGAAAGAAAGTGTTTTTTTTTTTACATCATAATTTCTATAACTCTTCATCAAAAATGAAATTCAAATACCACTTTAAAGTCTATAAACACGTTAAAAACTGTCCCAACAGATAATGTGCTATAACGCCATCTATCGGCGAGCGGTTCAAACGAAACTGGAACGCTATCTATCATCGAGCGGATCAAATGAAACGTAACCAGTTGAGCTGCACTGTTACGACAACGCCATCTATTGGCGGGCGGATTAAGTGAATCGCTACGACAACGTCATCTATCGGCGGGCGGATCGAACGAAACGTAACCAGTGGAACGGGCATCGGTTTAAAGCCCGCAGGCGGGGGGCTAGACGAGCTCGAGCACTTTGATGGTGCCCTGGCTGTTGGCGGCGAGCAGCACGGGCCGCTCGGGCGCCTTCCGCCAGCAGACGGCCGACACGAAGTCCGAGGGCTCCTCATCCCGGCGCTCCCTCTCCAGCAGCCCGCGCGCCGCCTCGAACCGGTAAGTGAGCAGAGGCCGCGAGAGGCCCGCGTAGTACACGTACAGCGAGTTGTTCTCGGAGCCGCAGGCGGCGTACTTGCCGTCGGTCGCGAGCCCCACGAAGTTCTTCTCGTTCGCGTGGCCGGTGAAGGAGCGCACGCAGCGCGGCGAGCCCACCCGCCACAGCTTCAGCTGCGAGTCGGTGCTGGCCGAGAGCAGCGTTCGCGAGTCGACGAACTTCACGTACGACACCGCTTTTCGATGGTCGCGGAACACGTGCAGGGGGGCGCGGGGGGAGCGTAAATCGTAGTAGTGCACGCAGTGGTCCGCCGAGCCGAAGGCCAAATGGCACGACGAGGCGGGGTTGAACCGGACGCAGCACACGTTGAACTTCGCCTCGAGCGTGGCCACGGACCGCTCCGCGTTCAGCGCCCACAGCTTGACGCGGGCGTCGTCCGACCCGGACGCGAGCAGCCGCACGTCGGCGCGGTTGAAGTGCACCGACCAGCACCGCTTGTCGTGCTCCTGGACAGATCCAAAATCATCATATATTCAACGGACGGCCGTTAGTTACATAGCTTCGTAGCTATAACGACTTGTAGATTAAAGGAACGCTGCTAATGCAACGGCTCGTAAAGGAAAATGTCTCGTTTTGTTAATGTAGGACTCGGGCGTACACGCCTTTTATATACTAGTCGTTATGGAAGTTACGAAGCTATGTAAGTAACGGACTTCGTTGAATCTGGGAACCGGGCATTATTCATCGACATAAGAAAAATACATTTCATTTATCGATAGTCATTTTTTTTAATCTACCACCGCTTCGAAATGAGGTTCCTCTAACGGAGAAGAAACAGGCGAAAGAAACTCCGTAGGTATCCTATTTTTTGTAAATTTTTTTCTTAACAAAACTAAAATATCATATAACTGTTTTTTCTCTTAGAATTGGCTTGGGAGCGATCAAGTCATTCCCATTCTTGTAAATAATGTAATAAAAATCAAAGGTAATTAAAATAAAAAAATAGGTGCGTGAGAAGTTATACTTCTCTGACGTTATCGAAAAATAGTTTTTAATTACGTGCAAATAATTGCTTACAATAAAATAATAAATAGACTGGAAAAAGATAAAAATCATAAAAATATGAAAATTACGAAAGCGCCGTCTACATTCTTTATAGGGAACTGTAACGGAGGAGTGTAATTGAGAATATGCTGTCATCTATAGTAAGCGGTTTAGCGGGCAGCGGGCGGAATAAAAATACAGAATGACAAAGGAAAGCGGACTGTTCAAACCAAGATACCTCTAATTGATGAATATTATTTAAACATTCTAATACAAATTTTTTGTAATCTTATCACGAGTCGACCGGTTACTACATACATAGTTCGGGAGTGCCCCAAGGAACGGTCCTAGGCGCGACCCTCTTGCCGATGCAATGTACAAATTGTAGGTGAGACCTGCAGCGCGCGCGTCCGCTGGCCGGTGGCGGCGTCCCAGACGGCCACCGTGCCCTCGTAGTCGGCCGAGGCGAGCACGTTCTTGTGGTACGCGTTCCACGAGACGCACGAGATCTTGTGCGCGCACTGCATCTCCGCGCACGGGTAGTGCACGTCCACCGCGTCGCGCACCACCGCCTCGAACTCGAACACCTGCCGAGTCGACTGACCCTTACTCTTTCACGCAGACACTACTGAATGGAGTTTAGTGAAATTGAGAATAACACATAGGCTATAATTTATATCTGTCTTTTTGTCTGAACGATACGCCTTCAGCCTATTATACGCAGGCGTAGTCGCGGGCAGCAGCTAGTAATAAATATCATAATAAGTATAGGTGTCTCAAATCATCGACACAGTAATAATATAGGATGTCTCCATAGCTCTAAGTAGTAGTAGACATAGGGTCTATCTAAACGAGTGAGGTAGCCGGAGCCCAATTTCCAAATAGGTTGTCAACGCATCTGCATGCCCGAGGGCAGATGTCCATTGTCAGCAGTATTCACTTAACATCAGGTGAACCCGTCTGCTCAACAATCAAATCTTTCCACTTTATAATACAGTTCAGATGCCACCAGATGCATCCACCTGCGTAGTGTCTCATATCGGGGGGCCCACCTTGATCCGCTTGGTGACGCCCGCGATCGCGAAGAATTCGTCGTCCTTGTCGAACTCTATCGTGGAGACGATCGTCGAGTAGTTGATGGCGTCGCTGCAGTAGGAGAGCGTGGCGAGGGGCCGCAGCGCCCGGTAGCGCGTGAACGCGGCCAGGTCCTCGCGGAACGCGTCGAGCCCCCCGCCCCCGGCGCCTATGCCCGCCTCCGCCGCCCCGCCCCCGCCTGCCGCTCCGCCCCCCGCTGCCCCGCCGCCCCCGCTTAGAGTGGGCGCGCCCGCGGGCAGCTCGCCGTCGGGGGCGCGCTGGTCGCCACCTGCCAACGAACCCTCCGTCGTCAGCTGGCCGCGAGTGCAGCAGCAGAGTACGCCACGTAAATTCACTGCCTTTTATTACTGTTGAATGGATTTTGTGCTAGGCGAGTTGCAGATTCCCGTAAAAGAGAACCCCAGTGCGCGTAATGAGCACTTCTTGTGAAAAGTTGCCAAACGAGCAGACGGTCACCTGATGTTAAGTGAATTAGCCAAGCTGTCTGGAAATACGCGTTATACTAATCAGCAATTTTAAAGCGCTACCGGTATAAAAGAGAGGGGGCACGATGTTCTCTAACAAATGAAGAACACTAAAGATTCGCTTCTTTCAAAACTATCAAGTATATATGTAACTGTGTAGCCGTGGCAATCTCATATGCTCTTTATAGGATTTTTTAAAGAATCGTTTTTGCGAAAACATTAACTATATAGTAACGCCATAAATTATTGTATAGAATGTACGACAACGCCATCTAGTGATAGTTTATGTAAATGAAAGATAGCGAAGAAGCCCGTTTTGCCCCGTCAATGTTTGAAGTGAAACATCACCACCGCCATGGTGGTGGTTACGACAATATGGCACGTGCCGAGTGGAGATACGTAGCGATCATCCCTGGAGCCCTCACCGGCGAGTAATGAGCGCTCGGTGCCCGCGGCGCTGGGGGCCCGCGAGTCGGGCGCGCCCTGCTGCGGCACCGCGTCCGCGTCGAGGGCGCCCCCCGCGGGGGCGGAGGGGGCGGAGGGAGCGGCGCGCGGGGCGCAGGGGGCGGGGGCGGAACCCGGCGTCGGGGTGGCCGTGCCGGAGCCCGAGCCGGGGAAGTACAGCTCGTCGGCGCGGTGCGCGAAGTAGCACTGCGGACGAGTTCAATACTCATAAGAGCAAGATTTTTATACATCTTCTTAATGAATGTTGGTAAGCACATAACTCAAGAATGGCTGGATCAATTCGGCTTATTTATTTCTTTGTATGTTCCTTAAGGTCCACGGAAGGTTTTAATTATATAAGTAAATAAAAAAAAAAAACAAAGTGTCCGGGCAGCTAGTTGTTAATAGTTTTCGTAGTGAAAGCAAAATAATGTCTTTTATAGGCAAAATTTTGATAACTTTTGTTCCGTTTCGATCTCTAAAAATATAAATTGGTGAATGTGGCTTTCTAATGGTGTAAAAATTATTAAAGTCGGTCGAGCGATTTACGACATGAATCGAGTTCAATGCTCATCAACTTTTTTTTGCTCCTCTATGAGGTCTTGGTACTTCCCCGGACGAACCTGCCAATTCGTGCAACAGCGATTTGATGCAAGGTAGTAAGTGATGCTTTGCCCAATGGACCTGCCCATTAGTGCAACAGCAATTTGTTGCATGACCCTACCACTGTCTGACTGTCTGTTACGCTTGCTCGTCTGATTGTAGGCTAGTTGTGCACACAAATACTAGCGGGCGCGTCACACCCTTGTGAACAATTTTTTTTAATAATAATTATAGATGGCTTGGGATTTCTACACACAGCCTGTTCATCATTACAGATTACTTGTAAAACATTTTCTTCTTAATAGATCAATCAATTAGCATTCTAATACAATAAATGATTAGTCTATTACAAAGAATACCATTCATTTTTCTAGTTGTATATTTCTATTAGTGAAATATTTTTTTCTAAATACCCTCCAATGTACGAAACGTACCGTTTTGTCGTGCCATGTAGTTACCTGGACGAAGTCGTCGAAGTGAGCCGTGAGGCGGCGCCAGCGAGCTGCGAGCGCGTCTCCCCCCGCCCCCCCCCCCCCCCGCGCCGCCCGCTCCCCCCGCGAACGTCTCCTCCTCCTCTTGCCTCTCCTCCGCGCCTTTGTGTAACGATGTATATAGTACATTGCGTGTGCGTGTGTGTGTGTCTTTCACTTTTGTATCATGTTCACTGTTTGTCCGCGCACTAGCAACCACACCATGAATCAGAGCATTACATATGTGTCTGTATAGATGGTCAATGTCTTCGTTGACGCATTAAGCGCCTTAAAAAATTATACCATACACAGTTGCGTTTCTTATGTATTTGCTTGTATGCTTTATTATGTACCACTGTCAATTTTATTTTTTTGTTAATTAGCATCTGGTTGTTATCTCTTATCCTTTAAACGAGCAATTCTTGTATATGTATATATATATATATATATATATATATATATATATATATATATATATATATATATATATATATATAATCGGAATCTCGGAAACGGCTCCAGCGATTTTCATGAAATTTAGTTTGTGTGTAGATTCGGGGGCGAAAAATCGATCTACCTAGGTTTCATTTTTAGAAAATGTCCTTTTATCCCTGTTTTCAGGGAATGAAAAATATCATTCGAATATGACGGTAAATTTCGCCGCAAGAGAAAATGTCATAATAGCTCGGTCGGTAATCGGGCGGCCCCAAAACAGACGGCCGAGGTTCGTGTCACGATCATTATTTACACACTCTTTTTTTTTTACTTTTTTTCGATTCCACATCATTGCTTTCTTTATTTTTAATTTTTTTGTAGATTTGTTATTTTGTTACTTTTTCCTTTTTTTTAAAGTTGTTTCTTTTGTGAAAAACACCACTTCATATTTTCTTATTATTACGTCGGTAAGATCGAAAAATATTACGCATATTTCATTACTCATCTAATGTATCTAAATATAATTTCCAAAACACACGATTTATATAGGAAAAAAAAAACAAACCGAGCAAAGCTCGGTCCTCCGGGCACTATGGTTATATCTCAGAACATAAAGTTTTTATTTCCTCCTTAATTCAAAAGTATTCAATGTCATTCTTTTATTCAGGCAATGGAATCCCATATAGGAGTTTTATTAATCTATTGGATCGCTGTGTTAACCAACATTTATGAAATGCTGCTTAACACTAAGTTGTGAGATGATGTATTTGATATAAAAAGTACACTTAGATTATGGCAACTTTAACAATTTAATTTCAACAATTTATTAGACTAGATTTGTTTAAATAATTTCAAAAGGGGGCTTCTACGATTGGGTACTTCTATGATAGACATTTGGGTGATTAGGAGAGAGTCTTAGAGAGTATCAAAGCGACAAAATGGTAGGACCTCTATTGCTAATGCAACATCACCGAGATTGAAGATACATCTGGAGGAGCCGGTTGTGAGAGTATGTGTGTGTGCACATGTATGAGTGTACGTACGCATGGTCATCTCGGGTGGGGGGGCGTCAGCGCCGTGGGGGGAGGGCGGCCGCTGCAGTTCGGCCGCGCCGGCGCGCAACTCGCGCAGCACCTCGCCCACGTGCTCCATGTCCTGCCAGCAGTGAAAGACTCAAGGATTGCTCTGATAGCCACTTCTGTACATTCTAATATTTGATTAGATTTTTTAAACTATTCGGATAGTACCGAAATCGTGAGTTTTCAGCGTTGTTGGAGAGCGGGCGTGACGTCACAACTGAGCGACACTAACCGGCCGGAAGATTGTGGAAAATTAGCACACCACAAAGTGCATTTCATGACGTAAACAAACACTTGCTAAATTGTTTGACAGCGAGGTAGACCACCCTACATTACACACGAAATAGGCGCCCTTACGGACCTTCCGGACGAGCGCCGCCTCGCGCGCCAGCTGGTCGAGCTGGTGGTGCCGCAGCCGCAGCAGGTGCGCGAGGAACTCGTACAGCAGCCGGTGCTGGGCGGCCGCGGACTCCGCCTCGAGGAGCCGCTTGCGCCGCGTGAGCACGTCCAGCATGCCGTCCACGTCCGCCAGCGCCAGGTTGCGCGCCTCGGCCGCCAGCAGCGAGCGCAGCCGCTCCGCCTCGCCCGCCCCCGCCGCCGCCGCCGCCCCTCCCGGCTGGGGCGCCGCCGGCGGCCTGCCCCTCAGCCGCCGCCTCGCCACCAGCTCGTTGAGCAGGAAGTTGGGGAAGATGTGGTCGCGCGACGCGAGCGCCGCCCCGCACTTGGGGCAGCGCCGGTGCAGCTCGACCGACTTGGCGATGCACGCGTAGCAGAACGAGTGGCCGCACCGCGTCACGTACGCCTCGTCGATCAGCTCGAAGCAGACGGGGCAGAGCAGGTCGCAGTCCTTGTCCTCGAGGGAGCCACCGAGGCCGCCGAGCGCGGACGCCCCCCCGCCCCCGCCGCCCCCGCCGACCGCGCCCCCGACGCCCCCCGACATCGCGCCCCCTCTGCCCGAGCACGCAAGGAGGATTAGGTCCAATTTAAAAAAAAAAAAAGGAGGTTTAGGTGTAGCCTATATAGGTCCTGTGCTGTAAATGTATATGGATGAACGCTTGAAAAATTTTCATATAAAAAAAATCGCCTGCCTTCTGTGAGGTTGTGGTACTTACAGAAACTGTTGCGTGGCCCTATCTAGGGTAAATGTAAATAACTTTAACTCCGGCGTAATTCAAATCAAATAAATTTTAAATGATAGAGAAAAATCACTTATGAATTTATCAACAAGCAGAATTCGGCGGTCGCTTCTAGTTTTCGAAAAAATAAATAATGAAATAGTGTGATTTTTACTATAGAAATCCGCCATTTTTTTGTTGTCAATATGTCATTTCAGCTCGTATTTCTTGGTGATCATAAAAAAAAGACCTAACATCAAAGGTTAAACCTTCGATGAACCTTCTAACCTAATCTATCCGAGTCGGATTCGCTCTGTGTCGGTTCTGTGATTCATTAAATTAATAAAATCGGAATATCGATACGTGTATGATATCGCCCGCTTCCTATATTTATCATGTTGGCAGAACTGTGTATTGAGTTTTTGAAGTCAAACAAATAAAATGGTGGATTTCTTAGTACAAAAAAACAAGTTTTAAATATTTTTTTTCTCGAAAACTATAAGTGACCGCCGAATTCTGCTTGTTGATTAATTCATTAGAGATTTATCTCTATCGTTTAAAATTTATTTGATTTGAATTACGCCGGAGTTAAAGTTATTTACCTTTACCCTATCTAGCAGTTCAGGTGTATATAAAGACCAGTTTCGGCCAACATCACAAAAGCAGTGTCTAATTTGTAAAATTATACTATCACTACAAGTATTAATATGTGACCAATTCCACAATTTTACAAAGATTGTAATACAAGACCTGAATTTTGTAAATTGTTTAAAAAAAATTATATTGAAAATTCCTATTATTACATTCAATTTTATGAAACCTTCAATGGTTTATTCCTCTAATCAATGTAATGAAACTAACTTCAGATCTCTGGGGTCCTCTCAGATACAGCGAAACACTTAGGACTGAGGCAGACCAGAAGATTAGAAAAATATTTCTTAACAGTGTAATAAGATTTCAAGACAAAATACAATACATTTATCTTCAACTTTTTAATTTGCTATTAAAAAAGTATTTAAACTATCAGATATTATACCATTGGAGATATTTTTTAAAAATAAAACTCACTGTGCTTACTACCTATGTGCCAGTGAACAAGAACTTTATTTTCAAAGCCTTCTATAATCTTCATTCATGTGTAAAATATTACATATGGTTGACCTGTTTCAGAGCTCTGAGTATATTTTTAGATTGCAAAGTTTATTGATTGACCAATCAATAAACTTTGCATTCATTATTCCATCTTAAAATACTCGGAGATCGACAAAAAAGGATAAAGGCATACTTATTTTATAAATATACATTTTTATTTAAAAATAAAAAAATCATTAAGACGTATTATTTGACAAGTGAATTCAACTTCTAGAACTACGAGTGAAAGAAGACTTACAGTTCAATGTATAATTGAATCGATGAGGACGTTCCAACAGCATTCTAGGACCTGGTAGCAACCGCATGACCACGCCGAAAGTAAGCTGCTGACTCGGTTCCACTATCAGAACAGACACCGCCCTTTAGATGATTTACGATAATTATATCAAAGTGGCACTGGTTTTTTGAAGACACAGGAGAGCTTTAACACAACACAATCTATTCATATCTATATTTAACTCTAATTATTACTTTGTTGCGGATCGCATCGATATTCTGTTTTGCATCACATAATATCTACACATAGCCACGGCGGATCAAATTGACAATTGACATGTATGCAGTGTTACCAACTGTTGAAAAAAAAACTCCTAAAGAAATTCAAAAACCTAAAATCCACTGTTTTCCAAAAAAAAACTTCCCAAATGAAATAGTCACCTTAAAATTATCTAACAACCTAGAATAATTATCGGAAAATTTAATTTTCTGGTTAATCAAAACTGTTTTATTTAAAAATTAACTTAATTAATATACTTGACCTTGAACATTGTTCATTGACTTGAAAAATATTTATACGAATTAAATATATTTTATTGCGAAGTTATAATCATTATCATTATTTTTAAGAATCAGACAATAAATATTGGGGCTAAGTATCATTCAATTACAAAAGATCTGTATTAAAGCTACCTACCTTTTAATTTATTGTCTTTTTCTCACTTAGTTCCATATTTTTGAACATTTCCGATGGCAATTTTCTCACCATTTGGCATTTTATATTACTTATTAAATGAATTTAATATATTATGCGTACCCGTATATTCACAATAAGAGTTTATGGCGGAACAATTTTAAATACTACATAGGCCTATGCTGCCAATACTATTAAATTATATTTTGTAATTAAAATTGTGTATTTTTTTAAATGTAAATAAAATTTTATTCCTAAAAAGATTGCCAAAAAATTTCTCCTCCTAAATTTAGGAAAAACACTCCTAAGTTGGCATCCGTGCATGTATGTGTATCGTGAAGGAATTTGACATTTAATAAAATTAGAGTTACCAATTGCTTAATGGAGAACCTCATCCTTTTTTGAAGTCAGTTAAATGTCACAATTAACATTTTATTCCACACTGAATTATTATCAGGTATTTCTAGTTTCAAATAAAATTTAGATGTACTTATCACATCTCTATAACTAATATGTATAAAAACGAGTCCTGAAGTATCCTAAGCTCATTCAGTAAAAGCTTTTAGACGTTAATACATTTTATTAATAATCACCTCACATATATACCATCAAGTTGTTGTCCACATTATATAAAACTATTATCATGCCATCTATTGGTATACACTAATTCGTTTTAGTGATCTCCTATTGCGTTAAAAACATACGTTTATTACATCTTATCTGTCTAAACTTATAACCGAGTTTATAGTCTGGAAAATAAATATGATTCATTAATACATCGATTATATGTCATCTTATCAGTTTAAACGTTGGCAAAAGGTTGATTGGTTAAAGGCACTTTATAAAGGTTTCATACCTTAATAAACTGCTTTATCGATATATTTTAAGCGTTTTTTCATTTTTATTTAAATACTAAATATGAAATAAACTTTTTGAACTGATTTCAGCGTAAGCACAAAGTGCAATGCATGTAATTATTTACTACGACAAATCCATTTATTTTAGCGCCATCTACAATTAATACGAAACAAATCTAATATAAAAATGGCAGATCCATCCCCCCATGCAGACTGCTTTACCAATGTAGCCAACGCCATTTTGCTATTATTACAGTAGTTGCTTTATCTTTCGTCAACAATGTAATGTTCTGAGTAAAATGTTTGCAAGATTTTTTCAGTGTTTGTGATATATAGGGTCACAATTGGCCTCATATATAAGATCTAGAATTATGGAGGAGTCTAATGAGGAGGCTAACGTCGTTCCGGGTGAGTGCAGTGCTTCAAAAATAAGCTAGATACGGTGTGTGTCCTATGTGCGAGGTCGTGTAACGTTAGCCTTCCCGGTTTCAGAGCTCTACTTTCTGATAGCGAAATTTCTCTCCGGCGGCCCCCTGAAAGAGACTGCAAAGGTAAATAAGCTTTTTTAACATCTTAATTTAATAAATTGAGCTTATAAAAAACTTACCAAGTCATTTTCTTTTGCAGACTTTGCTCAAAGAACTCGAGAGCGTAGAGGTGAGATGAAGCTTTCCTAGTGCCGGGCTTAGAGCTTATTGTTGTTTTGGTCGCAAACGCACGTGGTTACGGCTGTCAAACTCTGAAAGTTCGCTGAAAACTTTTTTTTCATTTCCGCGCTGTTGCAGGTGCTGCCTAGACGGCTCGACTGGGAGGGCAATGATCACGCACAGTCCTACGATGAATTGGTGAGTTGTGTGGGTGTGAAAACAGCTGTTTTTTGTTATTTCAGACCTGATAATGCGAAAACAAATACGGAAAATGTTGGAGTTTCATGAAAAAAACTATATTGAGCTGTATACGAAAACGGTCGTTAAAATGTGGTGGAAAACGTTGAAAAATGTTTAAGACATGTTTCATTGATAAACAATAAGTTTTTCAGCTATTTGCGAAAAAAGTGATATATCATTCATTTTGATGCTTAGGTGTCTTAACGTGTGGCGCGGTCGTCCCTTTTTCTCATATGGTAAAATAGTAGTCGAAATCTATCTGTCCCGCTCTTATCACTGACAGCGCCCGATTCGCTTTCCTATTGGCTCTTAGAGTCGAAGTCCTCCCACAATGGCCGACCATAGTATGGCGGCAAAATATGAATTTTGGACACCTGTTTTAGAGTCTAAATTAATTTTATCTCTGAATTTAATTACTTTTACATTTATTATGTCCCCGTTTGTGTGAGATGTTTCCGGAAAAAAAAGCTTTTTATTGCCTTCGGAACAATATAAACACTATTGTAAATGGAAAATGTTTGTATTTTCTAACAATAGCCAGACATGATGCTTATTAATAATTTTTATTATTTTATGTCACACTAACTGTTGCCCGCGATTACGTCTGCGTAGAATAGGCTGAAGGCGTAACATTCAGACAGGAAGACAGTTAAACATAAAATATGTATATAAATTTATATATTATATATTTATTAATGATTATAAGCTATGTTATTGTAGTTTCATTAAAATCCATTCGATAGTATTTGCGTGAAAGAGTAACAAACATCTATCTATGCATACAAACTTTCGCCGTTATAATATTAGTAAGGAAGTAAGGATTTTCATTTGTTAGCGTTTTGCAATCCATTTCAGGCAGCTCAGTACAGCGATGTATCGTGGCGGAGGTTGGCAGCTGTGTGCGAGCGGGCGTTGCAGCTGGCCAGCAGTGAAGTCGTCGACACGGGCACTAGCACCGGCACCAACAACGGCACCATCTCAAACAACAGTTGCCCCACCAGCTCCAGCAACAGCGTGGTCAGCGTTGCAACAGGTGGCAACGGCACATGCAACGACCACCAGCGGCTCAGGCTGCGCGCCCGCCTCTCGCTGCTCAGCGAGTCGCTGGTGAGGCCCAAACCGAAGTACTCCGCTTACAAGCAGGACCACACACTCGGTAACTAAAACATGTTTGTTGTAAATTGGCGAATGCTATTGTTATGTATAATTAGTTCAATCTTGACTTATGTACTGTAGTGAGAGTTGTTCAACTTTTTAATGTTTAAAGCTGTTCACATTTTTTTTATAAATTAATGTAAATGTTTACTGTCAATAGTAATGTGATTGAGTGTAATGGAATTTGTGAAGTTTTGTTATGTCAAGTATGAGGTCAAATGTTACCATGTTGTCTCATTTGAGATGATCCAAGATATAGCTGATTAATATAGTGGTCTCATAAATCGGTCATTTTGCAAGTATATGTCAGTTACGTTCAGTTTATGAAACACTGATCATTGCATAAATTAACATGAAACAGTTTTCAAATTGTTTGTCAAATGCCATTTGAGTTGTTTGTGGTTAATTTGTATGATGATCAGTGTTGTGTTTGCATGTGCAGTTTGTGTTTGTAATGTTGTAATTTCATGATTTAAAAAAAGTTCGCAGACTGGCCAACCGGGAGCTGGGCGGCGTGACGCGACCGCCGGGCAGGCCGTTCCCCGCGCGGCTCCTCTCCGGGCTGCAGCTGCAGCGGCGCACGCTCGGCCACCTGTCGGCGGTGTACTGCCTGGTGTTCGACTGCACGGGCCGCTACGTGGTGACGGTGAGCGGCGGGGCGGGGCCGTGTTTGGGCCGACGTGACGGCGACGTGACGGCGGCGTGTGTGGTGCAGGGCGCGGACGACCTGCTGGTGAAGGTGTGGTGCGCGCTGGACGGGCGGCTGCTGAGCACTTTGCGCGGCGCGGGCGCGGAGATCACGGACGTGTGCGCGTCGGCGGACGGCGCGCTGCTGGCGTGCGGCTCCGTGGAGCGGCTGGTGCGCGTGTGGTGCCTGGCCACGGGCGCGCCGCGCGCCGTGCTGCACGCGCACGCCGGCACCATCACGTCGGTGCACTGGGCGCCGCCCGCGCACGGCGACGTGCGCTGGCTGGCCTCCACGTCCACGGACGGCTCGGTGGCCTTCTGGACGTGCGCGGCCGACGGCCAGTTCCTGTCGCGGCCCGTGCAGTTCGTGGAGCGCATGCGGCCCGGCGCCTGCCACATGATCTGCGCCGCCTGGTCGGCCGGCGGCGCCTTCCTGGCGGCCGGCAGCGCCGACCACCACGTGCGCGTCTACTGCCTCGAGGCGGCCGGCCCGCGCCGCGTGCTCGAGACGGCCGTGCACGGCGACGCCGTCGACTCCATCGCGTGGGCCCACAGGTGCCTATCTGTCTTTACTCGTCTTACGACTCTATCGCTAGAGAAAAGCTTGTTTAAATCTGTATACCTGGCGACAGGGGCCTGCGGCTGGTCTCCGGCAGCAAGGACGGCAGCGCGGCGCTGTGGACGCTGCACGCCACGCAGTGGCGCCACGTGCTGCTGCAGGACCACACCAAGAGGCTCAAGGTGCGGAAATGTTCTTCCATAAAGCAGTTCATTTTCTGTTGCTGCTCTCATGACATGCGAAGGTATAAAAAGAAGATTGTGTGGAAGGTGCGAATAAAAGTGTTTTTGTGTAAAATTATAGTAGAGTTCTTTACCGATATTCGATATCATGTATCACAGGTTGTTCAGGCTAAGTAACAGAACAGTATATGTACATGTATGTGTGTATGTATACTACACCAACAAGTTCTGTAATACAACAAATATTGACAGCGTACCACGACGATGTCGGCCTGGTGCACCTAACAGTACCGACTAAAAACATTACTTAACCTAACATTTACATATAACATTTTACATAAGAACATTTTGTGTACTTTAATTAAACTATTTTAATATTACTCAAACTTTATAATTAACATTACCGCAACCGTACTACCGCCACACAAAGTATAATTCGTTGATTGCCTTGCGTTTCCAGGTTACCATGGTGTGCTGGGATCGGAGCGACGCCTACGTCTTGACCGCCGTTTCAGACAACACCGTTAGGGTGAGTTCATGTATTGATATCACATCTTTACTCTGGGCTAGCAGACTTCGTATATCAGCAATGTGCGAGTGCATGCAACTGGTAGGGCTACCCAACAGTTTCCTATTGCACTAATGGGCAGGTCCGTCGGGGAAATTACCACGACCTCATATGAAACCAGAGTGAAGTGGAGGTATAACATTTTCGCTCTGAGTTTTTTTTATGCGAGAAAGTGGCCAACGAGTTCATCTGATGTTAAGTGATAACTGCCGCCCATGGACACTTGCAACACCCATATGGTTGCAGGTGCGTTGCCACCTTTTAATAAAGTGGGCCCCGGCTACCTCAATCACCAGACGAAACACATGGTGTAACACCTCCATTTTACCTGGGGCCTAGTTAATGAAAAGGTTGCAACGCACCCGCAACCCTCCGACCGTTGCTCTCCATCCACTCCAATTGAACGGGCGGCAGGTGTGGTGCTCGCGCAGCTGCCGGCAGGTGCGCGTGCTGCAGGGGCACCTCGACGAGGCGTACGTGCTGGAGGCGCACCCGCTGCTGGGCGGCGTGGTGCTCTCGGCCGGCCACGACGGCCAGCTCTTCGTGTGGGACCTGGCCGCCGGCGAGCCGCTGGCGCGCTTCCACAACCGCATCGAGGGCCAGGGCGACGGCGCCATCTTCGACGCCAAGTGGGGCGGCGGCTGCAGCGTGGCCGCCTCCGACTCGCACGGCCACCTGCTGCTGCTCGGCCTCGGCCTCGGCCACCGGCTGCTGCGCCAGCTGCCCGCCGAGCTCTTCTTCCACACCGACTACAGGCCCCTGGGTAAAGTGTGCTCAATGTGTCCATCGAACTACGCTAAACGGTCGATTGCCACAACAACCAAAATCTAAAATATATTTACAATGATACACTATGATATGATAATTAGGAAATTTTTGCTTTGCTTCATGTCTGAACATTAACTGACTACCTGTGACCATATATTTTAATGCTTACTAAATAGTACTAACTTTTAGGTTAAAATTGCAAACAAGGCTGTTTGTTTGGTTCAACAGTGAACCGAACATACACACATGGTCTTTTCAAAGTCAAAAAAACTGAATCCTTTTTTCTACAAATTTTAATGTTTTGTATTAAATATATATACAGCGTGTCTTTACCATCGCGACAATAAATGAACACACATATAGAGGATAACTTTTTAAAATTGTATTGAAGATTTACATTCTTTAAACATCAATATTTAACAAGTTATCAAATTTTCTAAAACAAGAGAATTTTATAACACCCTTACGTATAAAACTTTAATGTTAAGTTCAGTTCGTAAAGGTCACAAAGCATATGAATGGGTTGAATGAATTTAAAAGAGACAAAACATACTGTTAGAAGGAGAGGCTTGTAATACGGCGCTGTAGCAACGAATGAAAAAGTCTCTGAATGTATGAATCAGTCAAATGTAGTTGTATAGGATGTTACAATTTTGTTTCTCTTTTACTTAATTAAATTTGTTTGAAAAATATATTTTTTTAATTATGGATTTTTTTAATGTTAATATTTTTTTATGATTATTGGCAAGTAGCGTTAGACGTGTGTTTATTTATTGTCGCGGTGGTAAAGACACGCTGTATATTAAGCACTATCAATATAGATAATATATTCATTTCGTGTGCCAACCCAATTAAAAATTTGTGCGCAAATTTATCAGAACTTATGATATTTCAATTTGCTTTAAATATAATTTTGTTTAAATGTTTTTAGTTTAATTAATTTATTTATTGCCTATTGCACTTTGTGTTATCTTTGTTTATCATTGTTAAAACATGATGTGATTACCGCTAATTGTAAAAACAGATAAGATTCTTAGCAAATAATTTTCTTAAGCCGCAACTTATGTTTAAAAAAATACCGTTTTCACAATGTGTGTTATGTAGAATGTAACGTAGTGGTGTAGGATGGGCGTGTTTCATAAATACGTCGCGCGTACAGTCCGCGACGCGCTCGGCGGCGCGCTGGACGAGCAGACGGAGACGCCGCCGCACCTGATGCCGCCCCCGTTCCTGGTGGACGTGGAGGGGGCGCCCCACGCGCCGCAGCTGCAGCGGCTGGTGCCGGGCCGCGAGCGGCTGGCGCTGCGCCCGCTGCTGCCACGCGCGCGCGCGCCCGCCGCCACGGCCGCCACGGCGCCGCCCGCCCCCGCCCCCGCCCCCGCCCCCGCCCCGCACGGGCCGTGGCGCGGCGAGGGCGTGCGCCACACGGCCGGCTCGTGGCAGCGCGAGGACTCGCTGCCGCCCTGCGACCGCCCCGTGGTGCAGCCGCTGCCGGAGAGCGCGCGGCGAGCAATAGAGCTGGCCAGGTGCACTGCTCTTCTTTACTCTTCACTAGCGACCCGCCCCGGCTGTATTGTACGTACAGGGTGGCTTTTCTAAAGGTGCCCAAATTCACACAGGAGGTGCAGACTCGATAGCATAATCATTTATTGAAATAAAAACGAACTTTCTTTTTTTTTCAAAAAACTTGCCGTTCTATTCCCTAAAAACGGAACTCGTTTACAATGCAGTAGTCATTCATAAATGCGTCGTACGCTTTGAAACGAACTCGTGTGCGTGTTAGTTATGAATGATCGCGCGTAAAATAAATGAGTTACCCATAAATTCACGCACTTTTTGAGATAAGTTCAAATGAATGTAATTAATTAATTAATTACGAGTGATTTTAATTATTTGTCATTTTTATATAACATAATTTATGTCTAGAATTTAATTTAAAAAAATGGATACACTTAGAAAAGCCTCCCTGTATAAACCTTCCTCTTGAATCACTATATCTAGTAAAAGAAACCGCATCAAGATCCGTTGCGTAGTTTTAAAAATCTAAGCATACATAGGGCCGGTTTCTTCTCAACAGAAACTGCTTTCCGAACCGGTGGTAACTTACGAACGTGTTAATTTCTTGTAAAATTTTGACGTTTCATAAGAACGTGCAAGCGTCTATGTGAATAAAGATATTTTATTATTATTTATTATTGTCAGACATACAGACTTTGTTTTATACTATGTAGTGATTTGCATTTCACAATGTAGCTTAGGTGGTAAAAACTTAAAATTAAAAATCATCATGGATTTAGGTAATGTTCGAACTTTGTATCGACTTATTCCTTGCGATAGCTCATCAAGTTCGACAATGGACTTGAGCGACGCCTCTGATAAGGTTGATCATAAAATCCTCGTTAGTAAGTTGTTAATTGTTAACATCCTAGATCCACTTTAAAGTTGAGTCAATACCTACCGCCTGCACAGGATACAATGTTTTTTTTTGGTGGTTTTATTTCATTGTCCCATATGGTGGATTCGGGTGCTCCGCAAGGATCATATCTCGTTCCTGTCCTTTTCCTGATTTCTAGATTGATCTGGAAGGTTTTACAACTCTGTGCATCAAACTAACCCAAATCTTGATATACTTTTTTTTTAACTTTTGCGACATTTCAAATGAAAAAAACGAAGGAAAAAGTTATTACCGTTTATACAATATATATAGACGATCAAAAATTTTTTTTGTAAAAAATCAAAACTAATTTCAATTTAAAACAAAAATTACATTTATGAAGCAACAGTGTCGCTGGGTAGGAAGGTTCTTGGCGATGTCCGTTGTTGAAAAATAATGAGTTTTAACTTTAAAATGTATAAAATTTAATAATGCAAGATAATTTCACACGTGTCGCTATTATGCCGTCTGGTCGGTGAGTGACCGTCCCGAGGTAAGTCGCGGAGACGGCCGAAAGCGGGCCGCCGAGTCCTCCGTGTGTGCGTGCGTATGTGTATAGTGCGCGCGCTAACAGTCGCATTACTTAACCTGTACACGTGTGCACAAGCTAGCAAATACCATAGCCGTTGACGCGTCCTTAGCACGGAGATGAACGAGTGGGAGTGCGCGTGGTACCGGCGCGAGATGCGGCGGCGGCCCCTCATGATCAGCACGCTGGCCGAGGGGCCGGCGAGGCGCGCGGGCCGCCGCCCCCGCCCGCGCGCCGCCGCCCCCGCCCCCGCCGCCCTCGCGCTCGCGGCGCCCCACCGCCCGCGCCCCCGGCCCCGCCCCCGCCCACGCCGCGCCTCCGCGCCGCCCTCCGACGAGCCGCCCTCCGCCGCGGAGAGCCGCTCCAGCAGCGACACCTCGGACGAGTCGGTGCGCCTCTCCGCCTCGGCCGCCTCCGCCGCGGGGGGGCGCTCCTCGCAGTCCTCCCGCACCTCGCGCTCCTCGCGCTCCTACTGCTCCAGCGACTCGGACTCCGACAGGTGAACGCTCCTCCATTTAGATATTCACATACATACTTGTCTAGATTTATTGGTCCGTCTGTTTAGACCGTGTGTCTCATTTAATTTAATTAGGAGATGTTTAGATTGAACGTTGTGATGTAATGTAAAAATTTGTCCACTCAGCTCGCACTCAGCTCGTAGGACCGACAAGTGAGTGAAGTTTATCAAATTATAGCGGTTTTCAATTATTATATAATCTGAAAGTACATAGTTACATCTGCATTGACATTGCAGCTGGTAAAGTGGTTTAGTAATAAAAGTGTATTGCATATTATATTATGCTATTTGGGTTCAAAAATATAAAAATAAGAATTATACTATATAAAATAAAGCATAAATATTTAACTATATTTTGATGAAGTTATATGAGTGTTTATTAATAATAAAGGAGGGTTTGTATATTTCTACAGCAGTTCGGCGTCGTCGCAATATTCGGATTGGCAGGCGGGGCCCGCCTTGGCACCGCCTGCCAGAGCACGCAGGAGGCCGCAGCCAACCGCCAGGTAATCAAAGCAAAGGCTTTACATCTTATGTAAATGCACTGATGTAAATAATATATAAAATGAATACAAAGTAAGTCACTCTTTTAGAGGATTTGCACGTTTGGTCCTTCGAGCCGGATACGAAATATATATGAAAGGCGAAATACACAGTAATTTTACCCAATATTATAATAGTGAAAAGATTTAACTATTAAATTGTTTATTACGTGTTGGGTAAATGTAAGAATCGCTCTAATAGATACAGTCCCAGCACGACGACGACGAAGCGCGGGGCGGCGAGCGCAGTGGCGAACGGGGCGGTGGGCGGAGTGGCGAGCGGGGCGGGCAGCGGAGCGGCGAGCGGAGCGACGAGCGGAGCGGCGAGCGGGGCGGGCGGCGATCTGCCCGAGGCGTACCGCGTGGGCGAGTGGCTGACGGCCGTGACGCCGCGCAAGGCGCCCTACCAGCCGCAGATGGGCGACCACCTGCTCTACTTCCGGCTGGTAGGTATAAGGAGGTCGACCATCGACAAGAGATGGCTTCTTAACTATTTAGCTGTATATAACAGCGTCTAAATTTATATTAAACAATTGCCATGTACTCATACAACATGAAGTTATAGTAAAAGTGTATTTTATAGTATAGTAAATAATAAAATATATTATTTCACGTTTGTGAAGTATTATTACCATTATAATATTGTTTATATTTTTAGGTCTGGCTCTTTTAATTTATTATAATTTACAAGACTTAAGTTTTTAAAAACACTTGAGCCCTTTGCAAAATTTGGAAGGTGATAGTCAATTTATTTTATTTGGTTCCTTAGACTGTTGGCTATTCAATTGTTAAGTCGGTTCTATGAGGGTGTGCGTTTGGTCGGCAGGGCCACCAGCGCTACTTCGAGGCGGTGGCAGAGAAGGACGTGTACAAGATCAATCCTAGGGACAAGCCGTGGGAGATGATGCACATTTATGTAAGTGTCCCTATGCCTTTAGTTTTATCCATAAGTAGCCGATATTGCGCTGAATAAGCAATTAGGATTTTTCCTTGAATTTATTTACCGTAGTTTGTCACTTAATTGCGTTAAGAATTATATTTTGATGTAATTTAATTAATAGTCTATTTATTTGCATCTCCTGTGCTCAAATACAACGACATTGCTCTGCCATATCAAGAATGCTGTATAGGTTTCGAACCGCCATCCGGCTCGAAGGACCAACTCGAAAAAGGCGTCTGTTGTGCCGCAGGAGTGCGAGTCCGCGAAGGTTGTGGGCATCAAGTACGTGATCAAGCCGCCGCGCGTGGTCTGCCTGCGGCTGGCCAGCGTGTGGCCCGGGGGAGGGGCAGGGGCAGGCGGAGGCGGAGGGGGAGGGGCGCGCAGCTTCACGGTGCGCTACCACGACATGCCCGACGTGATCGACTTCCTCGTGCTGAAGCAGCAGTACGACGCGGCCATGGAGCGGCGCTGGGGCCCCGGGGACAGGTGACGGAGGGCGCTCCGCGGCCCCTTTTTGGCGTACGCGCAGAGCGAGGCTAATGTAAAGTGAACGCCAGGTTCCGGTGCATGATCGACGACTCGTGGTGGACGGGCATCGTGCTGGAGCGCACGGGCGGCGCGGAGGCGGAGGCGGAGGCGGGGGCGGGCGCGGGCGCGGAGGGCGGCGCGCGCTGGGCGGCGGCGGCGGCGGCGCACTTCCTGTCGCTGCGCGTGCGCTGGGACAACGGCGAGGTGGAGCGGCTGTCGCCGTGGGACCTGGAGCCGCTGGACCCGCAGCGGCTGCCCGAGGAGCCGGGCGGCGCGGTGCGCGTGCTGCCGGCCGAGCTGGCCGCCGTGGCGCAGCGCGCCGACGCCCTGGGCTGGCCCGCCGGCGCCTGCCGCGCCCTGGCGCGCCACACGGCGCTGCTCATGACGCTCTCGGCGGCCGAGCCCTTCGTGGCGCCCGTCGACCTGCAGCTCTACCCCAGCTACGCGCGCCTCGTGCCCTACCCCGTGGACCTGTCCACGATACGCGCCCGCTTCGAGAACCTGGTCGGTTCCGTGTGTTCGTTCTCTCTCTGACTCTAATCGCCACCGACGCTGACTGAGAACGGTAATGCGCAGTACTACCGGCGCCCCGCGGCGGCGCAGTTCGACGCGCGCTGCCTGGCCAGCAACGCGGAGCGCTTCAACGAGCCGCACTCGCCGATCGTGCGCCAGGCGCGCCTCGTCACCGACCTGCTGCTCTACATCATCAGGTGCGGCAGAGCGGGAGCGCCTCTCCTCCGTCCCGCTCGCTCGCTCGCTCGCTTACTCACTCACTCACTCCTGCAGCAACTGGCGGAACGCGGACGTGGTGGCCAAGTACCACGAGCTGGCGGCGGCGTACCAGTCGTCGGACGACGAGCCGCTGGCCGCCGCGCTGCACAAGGGGCGGCGCGCGAGGGGCTCGCGGGCGAGGGGCGCCGGGGGCGGGGCGGCCAGCGCGAGGGCGGGCGGGGGCGGCGAGGGCTCGGCGGGGGCCCGCTGGGTGGGCGCGTGCGGCGCGCTGCTGCACGAGCTGAGCGCCTCCGCCGACGCGGAGCCCTTCCGGCGGCCGGTGGAGCCCTCGCAGGCGCCGGGTACGCATCGCCACTCTTGGTTGGCTTGCGCTTCGCTGGAAGCCAGCCGTGACGGGCCGCCTCCTCCCGCAGACTACCTGCGCGTGGTGTCCAGCCCCATGGACCTGGGCACGGTGCGCGAGCGCCTCGAGGGCGGCGCCTACTCGCGGCCCGAGCAGTTCGCGCGCGACGTCCGCCTCGTCTTCTCCAACAGCAGGCTCTACAACACCAACAAGCGCAGCCGGGTGAGTCGCTTGTCCGTGATGTGCATCGGACGACATTTCCACTGGCACTCTCAACGGATGACTCTTGCAGATCTACTCGATGACGGTGCGCTTGTCGTCGCTGTTCGAGGCGCTGTGGGCGCGCGTGGGGCGGGGCGGGGCGGGGAGCGGCGGGGGCGGCGGGGGCGGTGGGGGCGGGGCGAGGGGCGCCGGGCGCACCACGAGGCGCGCGGCGAGGCGCAGCCGCAGGGCCCCCAGGCGGAACACCGACGGTATCCTACATAGTTTTTGAATGACAGCTGGTGAGCGAAGAGATGCTTGGTGACCACCTTTAAGAATTGACTTTAGTAATTACATTCGCTACACGAAATGCAAAAATACAATAGTTTCCTGCTTAAGCGGTTGTGTTAAAACTTGTGAATCGAAGTTGGACCAAAATTGGGCGCTAATTGAGAAAAGAATGATGGAGTCTGCGTGGGTCACTGTAGCGGACTTGCCGAATTTCTCCACGAAAATTAGAGTGAAACTGCTGCGTGGCTCTACCGTGTAATATTTGTTGGTCGTGTATATAAGTTGACTTGAAGTAATCCCCCGTGAGAGAGAGCGATAGAATGAATAGGAACCGTTCGCAGAGAGCGGCGCGGCGGGAGGGCGGCCGGGGTCCAGCTCGGAGTCGGAGCCTCTGGCGGCCACGTCGCGGCGGGTGCACGCGGCGCGCTCCAGCCCACGCCCACGCCCACGCCCACGCCCACGCGCGGGCACCGCCTCGGACAGCGACGCGCCGCTGCACGCGCACCGCAAGGGTTCGCTTCTTTAACCGACTTCGAGAACGGAGGAGGTTTTTCTATGTTTGTTACCTCAGAACTATCGACCGAGTGAAGCGATTTTGATGATTCCCTTTTCACTTGAAACCTGGTGCTCCCCACGTGGTCCCATGTTAATTTCATTGGTATCGGATCTTGGGCTCCGGAGATACGTGGGGAATTCCTGAAGATCAATTATGAAATGGACACAGAGCGAGGTATTCGGAGTCGGTTTTGTTTTTCGTTAATAAAAAAAATCGCCTTGTTTGAAAACTTGCCACAACGTCCCGGCTACCTCACTCGCCAGACGAAAGTATAATAACTACACCTCACGCCGGCGAGGTAGGCGATGCACTTTACACTCGAAATCCGCTTTCTAACAACATCTCGACGGCTTCTCTCCGCAGGGAAGGGCGTCGGCAAGAAGAGCAAGACGAGCAGCTCGGAGCCGATGCCCTCGACCAGCCATGCGGTCGGCTCACAGGGTACGTTTTTATCGACTCTTTCAGTGTGAGTAAAATCAATATTAATTATATCCGATTTTAATTCGTAATATTACTACCGGACCGAACAGACGTTGTCCTCAACACACGTCTTAAATACAAAAATGTCAAAACTTTTTTAATAACTTTGTGAATCTAAAACATTCTCGAATCCACCTGAACACTCAGAAAAAAATCATTAAAATCGGTCCAGCTATTTAGGAGGAGTTCAGTGACATACACACGCACAGAAGAATTTTATACATAAAGACTTATGTTCTGCAACATCCTGCTCGAAGGACCAATTTCTTTAACTCCATTAGAAATTCATTTCCAGTCGGGTGTCCAGTGGGTAGAATAAAATTACATATAAAGATTTATGTCCTCCAACATCCGGCTCGAAGGACCATTTTTTTTTGACTCATTAGTGGGTAGTGGGTAGGGTAATTGTGCGTCAGTAGAGAAACAGTATCGAAGAGGTGGGAGGTGTGTTGCAGAAGGTGCGTGCGGGGCGGGGCGCGCGCCGTCCGAGGGCTCGGAGAGGTCCCACATCGAGGTGCTGGAGGAGGAGCTGGCCGACGACGAGGTGGAGCTCACCTACGAGCCGGCGCACGCGCACGTGAGCATTCGCCGCCGGTGTTGCCAACTGTTGGAACAAAATACTCCCGAAGCAATTCGAAATCCCACTTAAATCCAAACTCTAACCGAAAAAAACTAAATGTGTTTCATTAAGGAAGTTTTGGTTAGAATTTACCTCCCAAAAAACTTTTAAATTTTTTTTTTCTTAAATTTAGGAAGATAACTCCTAAGTTCTCATCCGTATGCTAGCGTTTCACTAGATAGGAATAGGCTGCTGAAAAGGCTCAGACGATTACAACTCGATTGGCGTAATGAGTTTGTGTTTTTATCTCTTACTACTGGAAATTTATTGTGTAATAAATATAGTGTTGTATATATGATTTGAATATATAGTATTTTGACTATGACTTATTACAATAGAAAAGTATGTTTGTTAATTACCTAGTGTCCATAGTACGAGCTGTGCTATGGGGGGATATTCATTTGATTTCTCGTCTGGTTGGGTTTATAAATAAAAATAAAAATATAGATATAACCTAAATGTGAGTTTTCCGAACGAAGGGTAAATTTTCAACAATTGACCTAGAAAACTGACATTATATATATGTATATGTATAACGTTGTGTTATTTATTTATAATGATGTTTGGATCCGAAATAAGCATCGGAAACAATTAGGAATACAAACGGCGGTGAAATTTTGAGTGCAGCGTCCTAATAACGAATTCGCCATTGACTCGCCCCGCAGCAGAGGACGCGGCGGAAGAGGGCGCGCGCGCGCAGCTCGGGCAGCAGCGGCGCCTCGCAGCCCCCTCGCCCCCCTCGCCCCCCGCGCCCCCTCCGCCCCCTCCGCCCGCCGCACAAGCGGTGAGTGCCCCCCGCTCACCGCCCCCCTGACCGCGCAGCCAGTGCTATGGACGCAGCCGTTCTCAGCCAACGATATACGGAGCAGAGGGAGAACTCTCCTTGTTCGAACTTCTAACGGACTACACACTACGAGTGCTTGCATTAGTCATCATCATCAGCCGCGAGACGTCCACTGTCCGACGCCAGAACCATCCATCTGCAAGACTTGCACAACTTACAATAAAGATTTTGCCCACATCCCGTCAACCAACTTTAACTGTGGTAGGGCCACGTAACAGTTTCCACTGTTGCACGAATGGGCAGGTCCTTGCGGGTAAGTACCAAGACCCACAGAAGTCCTCACCCCGTCTGGTGAGTGAGGTAGCCGGAGCCCACTGCTAAGGTAGCAATCCGGGGTCCCCCAGGGTGCGCGAGCGCTTCGCGTCGCCGTCGGGCTCCTCGTCGGGCTCGGGCTCCGCGTCGGGCTCGTCGGCGCGCTCCGGCCGCCGCTACGAGTCGGACCGCTCCTACCGCCCGCGCTACTCCACCGACGACGACGCGCCGCTGCTACTCTACAGGTCGCCCCTCTCCCTCTTTCTCTTCTCTTTCTCTCTCCCACACTAGGTGGCTTCTCCCGCTTCCCTCTATCACCCGTCGTCTCAATACTCGCCTATCATCCACGCAGTCCTTCCTCTATCTAACACCCTCCAACAACATTCACATACCATTCTAACGGTGGTAGGGCCACGCAGCAGCCTCGGCTGTTGCACGAATGGACAGGCCCGTCCGGGTAAGTACCACGACCTCACCGAAGACCAGCGTAAAGTGGAAGTATGACAAATACTTTCGCGTTTCGTCTGGTGAGTGAGGTAGCCGGAGCCCAATTTTCAAAAGGTTGTCAACGCGTCTGTAACCCTCGGATGTGGCAGATGTCCATGGGCGGCGGTTTTCACTTAATATCGGGTGAACCGTCTGCTCGTTTGACAACTTTTCGCATAAATTAAAAAAAAATACATTAATCACTCTTGTACTCGCATGAATTTCTCAAATGACTCCCTTCTCCTAATGTGCCCATACCACGTCTCCTACCACTCCTTATTTTCTCATAAACTGGTGCCTCTTTCAAGCTTTCCCTTACATACTCATTCCGGATGTTATCATTCAGATCCATACGTCATGACAGTTCGTATTCCGATTGAAATCGTGAACGTTCGATGTCCGCAGGCAGAGGCAAGAGGGCGACGCGGCGGCCGGGCCCTCGGGGCGGGGCCACTCGCGGGTGAGTGGACGACTGTGCGCGTAGTCTGACGTTGCGTCTGTGTGCGTTGAGTGCAACTACCCCTTATGTATGATGCATAATTAATGAATGTTTTACTGGCCATCTCTATTGCATTGAAATGCTAAGGCGGATATTTCTAATAAGGTGTCCATATAGTTTAAAAAAAAATTAAAAAATCTTTAAAAAAAAATGATGTCATAAGTACGCACCAGATTCAGATTTAGAATCGGATTCCGCATATGCTCCTTTAAGACGTCCGCCGCTATAAAATCACCCTGTATACTCATACGGGGTCTCCGCTCAGAGCGCGTCGCTGCGCGCGCGCCGCAGCCCCCGCCGCTACAACGAGGACAGCGAGGAGGACTCCATCGCGGCGATCAGCAAGCGGCTGCCCCACCACCACCAGCACCACCACCACCAGCACCAGCTGGCGAGGCGCAGGCAGCACCACGCCACGCAGGTGCCACCGCCACTCGCACTCCGTACTCTACTAATAGTTAAAATAACGAAAGTTCTGCGCCAAATTTAATATTTGACATTCAATAATGTGTCCAATCTCGATTTATGTATAATCTGTGCGTGGTTAATTTTGTTTGAACGAACTTCGTGTTTATAATCGGACCCGTGTGTCACAGGGCGCGGCCGCCAACGCGGCTCACACCGCCGACCACAACTACTTCAACGGCCACGCCCACGAGGCGCACGAGGCGCACGAGGCGCACGGGGCGCACGGGGCCCACAACGGACACGGTGAGTCACCGCGCCCTCTGCCGTGTACTGCTATCGACCGTTCTAAACACTTTAAAAAGTATGATGCAACGAAATAGTTACACTTTACGATCTGGTAGAACCGCGCAACAGTCTTAGATGTTGCACGAATGGGTGGCGTGAAGTAGAAGTGTTACACTTCGTTTCGTCTGCTGAGTGAGGTAGCCGGGGCTCAATTTATTGCAAGGTGACATCGCATATGCTACCCTATGCATGTGGCAAATGCCGTGGGCGGCGTTTATCACTAGACATCTGATGGACCGCCTCCGCCACTGTTTCAGCTCGGGGCTCTGCGGGATCAAGGGGCTCCGGGGGCTCGGCGGGGTCGGGGGGCTCGAGGGGCTCCGGGGGCTCGGGGGGCTCCGGGGGGCCGGTGTCCATCTCGTCGCGCGGCCGCGTGCGCCGGCTGACGGCCAAGGCGCGCGGCCTGCTGCGCCCCTGAGGGACACCCGCGCGCCTCTTCTCCTGGCGCCTGCTACCCTGACTCTTCCCCCTGACTCTTCCCCCTGACTCTTCCCCCGCTCGGTGTGTCGTTGCGTCGTCGCGTCACAGTGCACCGCCCTGTAAATATAATCTAGTGCTGCACAAGTGTCCCGGCGTGTTTGGCCAAGTCTCGACCTTAACGACGTACGTCTTTTAGTGAAATGTATGTATATCGATGTGTTTGTGTGTTCACGGAAGTGTACGTGTTGTATGTAATGTACTAGTGGACGTCGACGTTGAGTAGAAAAACGGTGGGAAAGTTTCTAGCAATTATTCCGGAATAGGTACGGAGGGTTCGAGAAAATGGAGCGAGGTTCGTGTGGGGATGAATTCCTCGACCATGATCGATACTTGCGACTGCCAAACCCTAAAGTGAAAATAGAAACAAATTAAAAAATGTTTTGTTAAATTCAAGCTTAATTTAGCATTTATGCATGACGATATCTACCACCGGTTAAAAAGGCTGTCTCAATCAAAACCGTAAGCAGTAATAATAAAAAGTATTTTGTTACTTATAAAATGGAAATGTATCTATGTTTATTCGTGAATGTACTTACGCGGACCTAGTAGAGCTCCTTGGGGTCCCCATTCGAAAACAGGTACAGCAAGAGTTTGACGAATGAATGAATTTCGTGACTTTTTCTGTTTTAAATCTAAAAGTTAGTGCGGGACCCTTGGCATCGCATGACGCTCAGATTTTATGTATACGAGAGCCAAATGTCTTAAGCTGAGCGTATGATTGCATTAGGCTGTGCAGTTTTTATCACTAATCGTGTATTAATCCTACGAAAAGCGACATTATTCCAATGCAATAAGATTGACTGTAATTTGTATTTTTAATTTGTATAGGAAATGCATATTTATTATTCGTTTTGTAAGCGACTTTAGGACTTTGATTTTATCTGTGACAATTGGCTCATTTGAATAAACTTATTTATATTATACATAATTATCTCATTAATACAATAAAATGGAGATGTTAGGTTAATAATTTAATTTCTAGATATTTCTTTGATTGAACTGTGGATGTGCAGACTTGATGTTCTGGTGTTCAACAGTTGGATACAGGTCAAGATTAGTATATAAGGACAACTCTGTGTACAAACGCTTGCGACAAAATATATTACATGATTAGCAACAGTTCACCCCAAAGGAATTTCAAAATAAGCAACGTCAAGATTATTAGGAATTGTGATTTTTGTACATTGTAGAGTAAAGGAGCGATTTATTGTGCCCTCTAAACGTTATTTCCTTCATTTAAACTGGTGCCTGTTACATGTGAAGTTTTTGGAGACCAACTGCCCAAAATTTAGTCCCCATTAAAAATTAAAGTTCTTTTCCTTTAGAGGAAACTTTGAAATTTTTGTAAAAAGAATGCATAATCAAGTCTCGACCGGTAAAAACAAACTCGATCATAAACTCTGTCGCATTTTTTCATCGCATTGAAAGTGGAGCTTTAATTTGGGGATGTAGAGTTGCATCCGGTTCGAAGGACCACCGGTCATAAAATGGCTTTAGGTTTCTCTTTTAGCTCGGACTTAAATACCTAATAAATTGGCAACGTTTCTTAGGATGGCCGAAATACTGATATAGTTCGGCTATTGTGTTAATAACTATTAACCAACCACAAAGTTTACAGGGCACATTATGAAATATCTGCAAAACTATTTAGTATTATCCTTACGTATTTTGTACGTTAGTATAGGCACTGGACTAGGCGGTTCCACTTTCAATGAAATAGCTCATTAGTAATGTTGGAAGGAGTACCTGTGTAATGGATATGTAAGGATTATGTGGTAATTTTAGTTAAATTGTTATGTAACGGATTATTTTACGGTTTTCACTCAAGCAAAAATGTGATAAATTGTGTTTTTTTTTTCTATTAAAAAAAATAGTTAATGGTTAGATTATGTTAAAATATATACGCCCAGCCGATTAAAAAGGCCGTAATTTAGACAATCATTATTTAATGTAATATCTAATGCCTTTTTTTAATGACGAACCTATTTGGTATGCGTTTGTAAAAAATCTGTAAATCTACCCGCAGCAAATTTTTGTACTTACAGTCTCTGTGAAATATATTTTTATTACAAAATGATTTGTATACAAATCTTAAGCCAACTGTAAAAACCACGCAATGTTAGTGATTAAGTAATTGTGAACCCTAAGCGGTAGGAAGTAAGAGTTATTGTCGAGTGCACGTTGCGGTGTATATTGTGTGTATATAGGTGTTGCGTGCAGATGGGCCGCGCGCAGCTGTGTGCGTGCGGCGCTGCGTTGAAACCAAAATAAATAAATCGAATATTTTGCAAGCGAATTGTTTTCCTTTCCTTGTTCAGCACGTTGCAAACATTTCTTTATTAATTTAAAACTTTTTGTACAAAACGTAAACTTCGTGCAAAGGCGAACTTAATGCCATAGGCATTTTCTGCCAGTGCATCTAACGGTCAAATAATGACACGTAAGTTGAGGCATGTGTGCATAAAATAATTAGTACCTGGAGGGCTGTTTTTTTTTGGTAAATCGTGTATTTTGGAAATTACATTTAGATACAAATTACTGAGTAATGAAATATGCATAATATTTTTCGATCTTACCGACGTAATAATAAGAAAATATGAACTGGTGTTTTTAACAAAAGAAAGAACTTTAAAAAAAGGGAAAAAAACAACATCTAGATGGACAAAAAATAAAGAATAATGATCTGGAATCGAAAAAAAGTAAAAAAATTGTAAATGATCGTGACACGAACCACGACCTTCTGTTTCGGGGCCACCCGATTACCGACCGAGCTATTATAACTTTTTATTCGACGAAATTTAGCGTCATATTCAATTTATATTTTATTTTTCATCCCCTGAAAACAGGGATAAAAGTACATTTTCTAAAAATGAAACCTAGCTAGATCGATTTTTCGTCCCCGAATCTACGCATACTAAATTTCATGAAAATCGCTGGAGCCGTTTCCGAGATTCCGAAAAAAAAATCCACAGAAGAATATACTGGATGAAGAAAGAACGAAATCAAAATTCTGCTATTTAGTTTTCCGTTGATTACTCTTTGCTCTATCCAGGCTAGGCTTTTCAGTCTCTCTATAACCATTTTACGCACACATACTTTCACATTCCCAGACAAGTGATTAAATCCACAAGAAGCTATGTAACTACACCATAATGAATAAGTACAATGAAGTTGCTCACGTGATGGTAAGTGATCACCACTGCCCATGGACACCTGCAACACCAGAGGGCTTACAAACGCGTTGCCGGCCTTTTAGGAAAGAGTATGCTCTCTTCTTGAAGGTTTCCAGATCGAATTTTAAATAATAATGCGAAAAAGCCGATTCCTACTAAAAATCATATTTCGGACAGAATTAAAATTATTATTGAAATAAAATCAAGTAAGAATCATAAAAAACTACTAAACATTCGTAAAAATATCCATGTAACTTGCCCAACACCAACTTTATACGTAATGAACAAATAACTAAACTATGAGTTTATAAGTTACCTTTAATGTTTGAAGTTTAAAAAAAAGTTCTTTAGTTTTACTTTTGCTCTGGATATTTATGAACGCTATTGTCAAATGTCAATGTCAATCTAAATTTTATGCGATTACCAAATAACACGTCATTCTCAGATTCTCACTTATGTTTTTACTGTGAAATATTTTCTGTTAAAAGGTAATTAAATACAAGATTATGTAGGTAGGTCGCATACGGAAAACTAACAGTATAAAAATATACCCTGAATTTTTTCAGAAAATAATACCGAACGGAAAATAATCTTCCAGCCTTCTAAGGACACCGAGAACTTTTGCCCATAAAATGGAACCATTAACCGAAAACGAGAAACAATCTACATTCATTTATAATCCCATAAGTTTCGGTAAGTTAAATCAATTTGTTATTTCGACTGTAAATATACGATATTCAAACGCAAACTAGTGTAAACTGCGCTTAACCTTTTAACATGTTTAAATAAGTCTCTTCTTATTTCCCTACCAATTCCAAGAACTATTTAAGACATTTCAATTATGTTCTGGAACATTGGTAAAACTATAAAGGAAATTCAGATAGATTTATTTTTTGTGATCTGTTTTTGTTCTGAAGATTAAGTATTATTAATATTAAATAGTGGTCTATGTAGTATTATTTTAATAGCCCAATGATATTATTTTTGTTTGTAAATTTTATCATATAATATATATTGTTATAAATTTTATCGTTATAAACATATAAAGCATAATTAAAATCGAAAGCCACGAAAAACAAGTCAATAAGTATTTTAGTTATCAGTATGTTTTGATGTAGGTCACCCACGCTCTTTGCTATTGCGTCATAATTAAATCGTTATAGGATATGAATTATCATGTAGCAGATAGTAATACTCCTACATAACAATGGTATCCGCTAACAATGGTATGTTTATAAATTATAGCCTATGTCTTATTCTGATGTATAAGCTGTATTATTGTAAAGTTTCATCAAAATCCATTCGACTTTGAATTTGGTTTTGCAACAAACCTTCACGGGTTGGACCAAAAATCTATTGATAACGTACACAGCAAAATCAAAATCAAAATCAAAAATATATTTATTCAAATAGCACACTCTTATGAATTGTAAAATTTTACATCAAAGATTATATATATAGGTTCGTAAGGTACCATTTTATGTACTCTACATGTATTTAAAAACAATAAAGTTCATTAATTTCAATTGTATGTTTTAGAAAGTTCTTCGGCAAATGTTTTGAAATTTAGTTTCTAATGAGATGTTTCATTTGGATTATGTACATTAAATAGAAAAATGGAGGTTTTAAAAATAATTATAGGAAGATATATATAATATGTTGTTACAACTGCGATAATAAATGAACACACATGCCAATAATAAAAAAAATATAAAACATTAAAATAATCCATAATTAAAAAAATATATTTTTCAAACAAACTAATTAAATAAATTAGAAACAAAATTTGTAACATCCTATACATATTGTTTTCTTGATTTTACGCGAATATTATACATATTAAATGAAACTACTTTACGGATTTTATCGCGTTTTTTTTATTTTAATTTAAATTCCCGACGTTTCGAACCCTTTCCAGCGTTCATGGTCACGGGACAGTCTGTCCCGTGACCATGAACGCAACATGTAGAAAAAGTACGAAAAGATTGTCGCCGCTGTGGGAATCGAACCCACGTCTTCGGCATTCGCGGCCTGACGCTCTAGCCACTGAGCTAAACGGCTGATACCCACAGCGACGAAAATCTTAACGCCTTATTTCTACATTGTTATTTAGCATTTGAAGCAATGCTTGGCGCATCTATTGTTATATCCTTTCCAGCATACAAACAATTTCGAATATCGTTTTACAACGATAATTCGAACGAGAGATGTCGCCATTGCTTTTTATAAATTTTAAAGTTTTTTAAAGTGCTAATCTCTGCACTTAAGATTGAACATTAAAACGAACGAATGCCGAAGACGTGGGTTCGATTCCCACAGCGGCGACAATCTTTTCGTACTTTTTCTACATGTTTTAATGTTCAGTTTTAGTAATAGTTATAAGCTTATCTTTAAGTGTATTTGATCTTAGGTATTGCCTAAATACTTATTGCACTAGGTATTGCCTGTATTGATGTTAGTTCATGTCCATCATCAATAAAATAAATAAAGAATAAATGAAATACTCTGAACCAACTGTGGATTGAAAGACATTAAAACACCCACGCAAACTTCTTATGGGTGTTTGTCTTTGCTTGTTTGTGGTCATGTAATCTAAAATGTCCATCCAACACATGGTAATGTTATCTTACAGTATGGGCAATGTTTTCTTAGTGAAGACTACAATAGATCTCTTTATGCTGCAGTGAACATTGGGACTTACTACCCAACCCTTTCCGCACAAAATACAATTGTTATTCAATAAAATATTGCAGTTCTGCATTTCCTCGCATCGTACGGCTGGTACCTGGTGGGCGGTGCTGCTGCTATCCTGTACCTGATGTACAAACTGCGGCCGAGCTACGAGCGCTGGCGGCAGGCCCGTGAGGATGCGGAGTACCATAAAGGTAGATTGGGTCTTTCCAGTTATTAATGTTATTTTTAATACGTAATAATTTTTTGTATAGTTTAACTTGACTCGGTGGCGCCGATAATAAGCTAAAGGCTTCGGCGACAGGGATCGTGGGTTCAGATCCCACACGGCACCCTATGTACCACCGCATATACAGGGTGATTTTTAGGCGAAGTACATACTTTGACATAATGTTAATTGAGCATTTGATAATTCAAAAAAATATTAATACTTTATTTTAACAAGAATTAACCAGAAAAATGACAATTCAAACATTGTTTGTTTATCCCGTTAAGAGTGATCACCCTATTGATAAGCGGTTTAGTAATTATGCGTTCAGCGAACAGTTTTAGTGCTTGTGAATAAGTTATTGTAATGGTCTCATTAGAATAGAAATTCTAATAGGGTATACATAACATTTAAAATAATTAAAAATAATCTTTGAAAAAGAAAAAATGAGGTCACAAGTATGTACCAGATTCAGATTTAGAATCAAATTCTGCACTGTTAATATAACAAAAGAAAAAAAAAATGACAAAAAAGAGGATACCTACGTTTCTTTTTTTTTTCTGAGTTTCTTTCGCCTGTTTCTTCTCCGTTAGAGGAACCTCATTACGAAACGGTGGTAGATTTAAAAAATGACTATCGATAAATGAAATGTATATTTCTTATTTTGATGAATAAATGATTTGAATTTGAATATGTCCGTCATCTGTAAAATCATCCTGTTTCATATATGTCCCACGGCAGTGGGACATATATGGGCTACTACTCTACTTATGTTTGTCATCTCAGACCTCATTCATTTATGAAATGATTTTATAAATTCTCTACATTGTATTAGATTAGATCCCATATAAATTTCATTGCTCCCCATTGCCTCCAGGGGTAGATCAGGCAACTCGTCAAAATCAAATAGAAAATGTATACTGAGTGTCATTTTTGAAGTGGTTTTATGTTCTTTGATAATTAAAATCTACTCGATGTGTAGTTCACTCCAATCTTTATTACTGTGCTTATATATAAACTTAAGTAAACCCAACACTGTTTAAGAAAGCTTATTACAAGTTAGATGATTATTTAAATGACAGAGAGGCTTGGTGTTCCGATGCTCCAGCGTGACATGAGAGACATATTGGGCTTGAAAAAATAACTTACTTTGAATAAATGATTTTGATTTGATTTAATTTGCAGTAGACTGATAAACGTCAATGAATATGTTCTTAGATCCCGACGTGGCGTTGGCGCGGATGCAGGCGATCCAGTTGGCGAGGGAACGCCAGCAGAGGCTGCTGGAGGAGGCGTCGGCCAAAGCGCTGCGGGAACGGATGGAGGTGGTGGCCATTTCATATGACACGGTGGTAGGGCCACGCAGCCGTTGCAAGAATGGGCAGGCTCGTCCGGGTAAATACCACGACCTCACAGAAGACGTAAAACGGAAGTATAATAGTTTCGCGTTTCGTCTGGTGAGTGAGGTAGCCGGAGCCCAATTTTCAAAAGGTTGTCAACACATCTGCAACCCTTGGGTGTGGCAGATGTCCATGGGCGGCGGTATTCACTTAACATCAGGTGAACCGTATACTTTCACTTTACGCCGGTCTTCTGTGAGGTCGTGGTACTTACCCGGACGAGCCTGCCCATTCGTGCAACAGCCGAGGCTGCTGCGTGGCCTTACCACCTTATAATAAGCTGCCCATTCGTGCAACATCGAAATCTGTCGTGTGGCCCACAGTTAAATTTACACACGTAGAATGCACCGGCACTTGCTTTACCATTCTACTTTAGTGAAACAATGTTATGATGTACTCCTTTCAGCGGGAAGAGCGCAAGCGGGCGGAGGCTGCGGAGAAATTGAGGAGCCTCGAGGAGAACGGAGGTCAACGTCTGGGCACTGGAGACGGTGAGAGCTCCCAATCTATGACTACGTCTGCGTAGAATAGGCTGAAGGCGTAACATCCAGACAGAAAGACATATATAAGTTATAGCCTATGTGTTATTCTGATGTATAAGCTATATTATTGTAAAGTTTCATTAGAATCCATTCGCTGCCCGGATTCGAACCAGCTCTTTCAATATTACGTCCACATCCCATTTCCTCCGGTATATTGAATGAAAAGCGACCGCCCAGACACTGAGTTATCACTGTGACTAAGAATAAAATTAATACTATGCGTGTAGTTATGTATGCATCTAAGAATTCATACTACTTTAGCGTAACAGAAGAAAAATAACTAAAAATGTTATCCCCTGTGTGTGGAGTTAATACTGTTTATACTCATGTAAGCTAAAATAAGACTATTATACCTGTATCATGTCATGTTATAAACTGATACTTTAAAAAATGAGCAACCGTTGAGTACCTTGCCGGTCTCTTCTCAATGGAAACTGCTTCCAAAACCGGTGGTAACTTACGCACTTATGTTTTAATTTTCATGTAAAATTCCTACGCTTCATAAGAACGCGCAAGGGTCTATTTGAATAAAGGTATTTTGAATTTTTTTAATACAGTTTGTTTGTGAAAAAGACATTACATTCAATTGCCTCTAAATATATATTAATGTATTAAATATAATATATCAATAAATTGGAATTTTAAATAAATAAATAACAATAAGTTGTTATTGGTTGCCATTTTTTATTTTATTGATCAACAATATCAACAACTAGTTATAACAGAAATACTGAATACTTAACTTAGGTATCGAGTTGTCTACACCGGTCCAAGGCTGGAGCGAAAGTAGGGATGCCGAAAAAATATCGGTATATCGGATCAAAATATATTGATATATCGATATAAAAATTGAATATCGAAATCGTATCAAAAACGATATTTTTATTCAAACTGATTCAAAGCCGTAAAAGATAAAAATGAACGGAAAAAACTGTGGTCTATTGTATTGTCGCGGATGCAGAGTTGCATTTTGTACTATAATTATGGTATTTATACATTTGATTACATTTTGATGCTTCGTACTTTATACAATCCATATCTTAGGTACAACATGGTGTAGAGGTGTTACAAATCATTAATATTGAAGTAAATATTATGTTAATTTGCATTTGTTTTTTTTTTATAGCATGCAAAATATTAACGGCATCAACTAAAGTTACTTTAATTTAATATGTAAACAAAGTTAACAAAATTTTAATTATAATCAAATTCTCAATAATTAAATGTCACGTAATATAATATCGAGTTTTCATAAGAAAATTATTTGACGTCATAAAAATTATTATCATTTAACCACATATCGATATATCCATATTTTTTTCGACTTTCGGCATCCCTAACAGAAAGTACCAAGCCTTGTTTTTCTTAGTAATGACAAAACCCACGAGCCTTTAGTTGTTTACATGTATATCACATATGCTTCACTTGTGTTCAATCAATCAAATATCTTTATTCAAATAGACGCTTGCGCGTTCTTATGAGGAAAGCAGTTTCTGTTGAGAAGAGACCGGCAAGAAACTCGTCAAATTCTATATAAAAAAATTATATCCGCACATTGGCGTCGTCGAGATATTCTCTATGTCATTATTGTTGAATATTCTCTATGTCATTACTGTGAGTTATGTAATGTGGGTTCCATATAACACTACAGTATTCTAATATGCTTCTGACATATGCAAAGTAAAGTAGTTTAATACAACTAATATCGGAAAAAGGCCAACTAACACGAAGGATAAATCCAAGACTTTTATACGCAGAGTTTATAACTCTTTGTAAATGCTCGGAGAAACTTAACTTACAATCTAACAAAATACCCAAATCCATTACACATTCTTTTTTACTTATAATTATTTTATTTATTTGATAGTTATAAAAAGTTGGCGATCTTTTCCTAGTAAATGAAAAATATTGAGACTTATTAACATTAATGGTTATATGATTTTCTTTATAATAATTGTCAAGCCGTTCAAGATCTTCCTGAAATTTGACGCAATCTATGTGATCTTTAATTTGCATAAATACTTTCGTATCATCAGCATACATAAGAAACTTGGAATTTTTGAAACACTTACCTACATGGTATAAGTAAACTACATAAAGAAGAGGACCCAGGATGGAGCCTTGAGGTATTCCGGATGTTATCTTAACAAAATCAGAACGAAACCCACCAACGATTACTCTCTGAGACCGTTTCCTAAGATATGATCCCATCCACCTTAACAGATTCCCTCGGATCCCGAGTTCAAAGAGTTTTCGTATTAAGATAACGTGATCCACCCGATCAAAGGCTTTCTCAAGATCTGTATAGACTACATCCACTTGTGATCCCTCATCCATGTTCGTGGTGACATAGTCTAAATGCCATCTTAATATCGTGAAGTTGGTCGAATTGGGTCGCTTTGCAAGCGACTTCATCATGTCGCTTTTTTGACTGTTGGTACCTACTTTCATATTTTTTTCCAAACGCGCCAAAAGAAGTGTAACTTTGAAAGTAACTACAAAAATATACTTGCAGATTATCTACCTCTGAGCGGCGGTCCCTCCACCTCCTCGTACCGGCCCCCGAAGCGGTCCGCGTGCTCGCGCGGCGGCTGTGGCAGGTAGTCTGCCACCGCTGCAACGGTTGCCACCCCCCGCCACGCCGCTGCCACCTCTGCAACTAACCGCCGGTGGACGTGGCGACTGCGAAGACAGTGATGGAGAAAAAAAACGAATACAATATGCAGCTGGATTTTTGAGTAGTGTTATTTGACAAAGTTTACAAGTAACTTTTGGCGGGACTTTTTTTTTCATTGATGTTTAAATTTTTAATAAAACGCCGAGCGAGTTTCTTAAAATTTGATGGTTGACGTTTCTGAAACACTGATCATTGTAGAAGTTAACTAATCAGAATGATCAATTCAAAGAGTTTAATCAAAGCCAAATTTCCATTTTTGGCAACTCAAATGACATTTGAAAAGCCATTTGACAGCTGATTAGTTAACTTCTGCGATGATTAGTGTTTCAGAAGCCGGGCGTTACTAATGATTTGATGGTTAACTGTTATAATAATACTCTTTTGAATTTTTATTATTAATTAAAATTAGACTAGTCAATTGGTGGTAATGCTTGTAAGGTTTAACACAATAAAAGTATAACAAAGCTTTAAAAAATGTCATAAATAAATGCGTTATAATATTAATTGTATCGAATGGGATATAAATAATAAATTAACAAATGGGATATAAATAAAAATAATAAATTCGACGACCCGAATGGCGTAGTCGGTAGTGTACCTGCCTTCTGCGCCAGAGGGTGTGGGTTCGAATCCCACTACTGGAAAAAATATTGTGTGATGAGCATAGTGTTTTTCTAGTGTCTGGGTGTTTATATATGTATAATATGTATTTATTTACAAAAGAAAAGGGTGTTTAAGTAAAAGTTAGTAGTAAAAGCGTTGCTTACTTTGGGACTAGAGAATGTGTGAAAAGAATGTGTCCTAAAATCTCATCATTATCGTTATAAATATGGCCATGTTATTAATTATTATATAAATATTAAAGTACAGAGTTTGATGCACTAGGATTTGATGAAAATGTCAGTTACTTTAAAGTAAAGTAAGGTTAAAAAACTATACATATATCTAAACTCTTGCAAGCTTTATGGGGTGGGTAGAGGTGGACAATTGCAAATATTCCAGTGTATATTTTAACATATACAACTGTTATGTTATTAATGATATATAATTCATTTATTAAACAACTCACACAAAACTTGTTTCTTATTTTTATCCTACCACTTTAAGAGTAAATACAGACTATTGCAGACGAAGAAGATTGTATTCTCCCAATATGCATCGATTTCGTCAACAATAGCTTTAACTCTTAAAGTTTTCTTAGTTATTTACCCTGTGAAGGTTGAAGACTTAATAATAAATATGCAAAAATTGGTTACACAGAGTTGTCAGCTCATTTTAATGTGTCAGTGATATTCCGTGCAGAAAAAAGGACTTTCTACAATTTAAATAATAATAATCTTTATTTGTAATCAAAAACACATCTGCACATTAAAATAATAAAATAAAAATAGGTATTATACAAACAAAATAAAATATTAAAAAGTGACAGATATATTAGGACTACATCACAGAAATCCTATTAAATTTAGTTAATTTCCGCGGATATGAATAGTTACCCCACAGATCACGTTTAAATAAGAGATAACCGCAAAATAGATACAGCGCGGTCGACGCTTCACGTAATAACCTCGAACGTAATTCGCAACTCGATACGAGGCCTAGAACTCGATTTGAGGTTATGTTCGCAACAAAAACATTTTTTTTTTCATATAACAAAAACATCGTATCCTATTCATGGCTGGAATAATGTCTAAAAAAACCTGCCCTCTATTGGCAACGAACACAAGAATTTGGGGGCCTTTTGGAAAGTAAAAAGGTTGATTCGACTTATCCATAATTTTTTTCAGTTTTCCATAGCGCACACTTGATGTTCATTATTGCTAACAACGTCCTCATTTACGGGCTAAGCTTTTTTAACGGGTAATAGTTACCTAAAATATAAAAAAAAAAAAACTATAAAGTGTAAGAGAATATACGGCATTTCGGTGGGCACCAGCCCGCGTACTCTTATGACGGTACTGCGTATTGGACAGGGCGTTTAAAATAATAGAAAGTTGGTCTTGGACATTTTTAATAAAGTTAAGCGAAAATTGGAAAATTTCTATTTCCTCCCATCGCCAAATAATAAGACGTAATAAATTTTGAAAAAACTTTTTTTAATAATTGTGGATATTTAATATTAAGACCAATTTTGTTTTTACATCATAACATATTTATAAATCTTACGTGGGATTGTTAATGCTCACTCTTTGGCAGCAAATGTGAGAAGACTAACAGCCCCTTGTTGATTGAGTAATACCCTTACATAATACTGTGGTAGGGTCTAGCAACAGTTTCGGCTGTTGCACGAATGGGCAGGTCCGTCCGGGTGAGTACCACGACCTCACAGAAGACCGGCGTGAAGTAGAAGTTGCCCTTCTGCATTGCGTATGGTGAGTGAGGTAGCCGGGCGCCACTTTATTAAAAGGTGGAAACGCACCTGCAACCCTACGGCTGTTGCAAATGTCCATGGGCGGCGGTTGTCACTTAACATCAGGTGAATCGCCAGTTCGCATGCCACCTAAAAAACCGATAACCTTCTCACATAAAAACCGGCGAAGTGCGAGTCGTACTCGCGCACGAAGGGTTCCATTTATAAAAACGACAAAAAATCATGGTATCGGAGCCCTAAGTAAACATTTTTACTGTTTTTAGTATTTATTTGTTGTTTTAGCGGCAACAGGAATACATCATCTGTGAAAGTTTCAACTGTCTAACTATGACGGTTCATGAGATACGGCCTGGTGTCAGACAGAACAACGAAACCCTAAATATGAGGGGTTTTATATTTAATACCCAAGCTCAAATCTATCTCTAGATTAAATATTGAAAGCGGCCTTAGGGCGTATATGTCAAGAAATGTCGATCAAGTCAACTAACTTCAACTTCGCTTATGTGAAAAGGTCACCCGGAACATCGACGGGCGATGAATTTCTGACGAGAATAATTCTTAACAAAAGGTTCTGGGTTCAATTGATAATCTATACAGATAAATAAAATTGGAGTGTATATTTAAAATTTTCAAAATGCATATATGCGTGTATACACGGTACATATACCAAAATAATTTTTTTTACAATTTTTGTCTGTCTGTTTGTTGAGGCTAATCCCTGAAACGGCTGAACCGATTTGGACGGGACTTTAACTGGAAGATAGCTGATTTAATAAGGAGTAACTTAGGCTGTTTTTATTTTAGAGATTTTATTTATTTTAAATTCCACACGCACCAAGTCGCGGGCACAGTGATAAAGTAACAAGTCCTCTTTATTTCTAACACGACCACACCTTCGTGCAATTATTGAGGAAACGACCGAGTCGGGTCAATCCACCCGAGCCCAACAACGGCCGCAGCCGAGTTTTCTCTAACAGATAACTTTCTCCGATCGTGAGCGTCGTTGGTGCGCGACGAAAACGAAATCGAAGCTTTTAATTGTCTGTTTTTGTTTATTTTCCCGCTCAGTAAATCTGCTCTGGTGATACGCATCTCTTTCTTGAACGCAACAATATTAGAAATTAGATTGAAATTTTATTGGAACATTTTAAATTACATCTACATTTTTTTTAAAAGTTTTAAAGTTAAAACATGTAGAAAGAGTACGAAAAGATTGTCGCCGCTGTGGGAATCGAACCCACGTCTTCGGCATTCGCGGCCTGACTTTAAAACAACTTTAAAATTTATAAAAGCAATGGCGACATCTCTCGTTCGAATTATCGTTCTAAAACGATATTCGAAATTGTTTGTATGCTGGAAAGGATATAACAATAGATGCGCCAAGCATTGCTTCAAATGCTAAATAACAATGTAGAAAGAAGGCGTTAAGATTTTTGTCGCCGTGGCTATCAGCCGTTTAGCTCAGTGGCTAGAGCGTCAGGCCGCGAATGCCGAAGACGTGGGTTCGATTCCTACAGCGGCGACAATCTTTTCGTACTTTTTCTACATGTTTTAATACATCTCCATTGATCAAATATTTATAAATTGACTCGCTGACCCAGAAAACGTTGTTTTGCCATATAAATTATTTGTAGGGTGGAAAAAAATGTTTGGGGTCGACCACCCTTAACTTTTAGGGGGATGAAAAATAGATGTTGTCCGATTCTTCACCCTGGCCGATATGCACACAAAGTTTCACGATAATCGGTCGAGCCGATTTGGAGGAGTTCAATTACAAACACCGTGACACGAGAACTTTGTATATTATATTAACAAATAATGAAGATTGTACGTAAAACGTATCTGAGTTGTAATTACTTAAAGAGCCTATATATTTTTTGTACGAATGTCGCAATATTGTCAATGTAAAGTAAATTAACAGCCTTGTCGCGAAAGCGAAGCAGTTATTAATTCGTATGCACGAAAAGGGTAGTTGAATATTTTGCGCGACAATTATTTGTCATAATGAGGGTAGATATGTAGCAAGAGGGATACATTAGTGTTATGGGACTACACCTTAGTCGGTGCGTAGTCGGAGCGATCTGTGAGGTGCGGAGGCTGTTTTGGTATGTTCAGTAATATTGCATACCCGTGTCTTTTATCAGATATATCTGATATGATGTATCTGTATGGTACCACGACCTAACAGAAGACCAGCGTAAAGTGGAAGTATGACAAATACTTTCGCGTTTCGTCTGGTGAGTGAGGTGGCCGGAGCCCAGTTTTCAAAAGGTTGTCAACGCATCTGTAACCCTTGGGTGTGGCAGATGTCCATGAGCGGCGGTATTCACTTAGCATCAGGTGAACCGTCTGCTCGTTTGACAACTTTTCGCATTGAAAAAAAGTTTTCAGACTAAATCAGTATAAAGCGAGGCTTGGATCTATAGGGGAGGCCACTACGGGGTGTATCCCCAAATATTATCAGTATACAGAATTAGTCTATCATGTTATTAGTAGACACATTATCAGTATGTGAATCTATCGGTAATTTCACTAGATATTCGTCATTACACTTGTGTTAAGGCGGTTTGGCGACAAGCCTGTACATGTCCCACTGCTGGGCAAAGGCCTCTGTACAGAGAGTATCGGGGCATAGTCCACCACGCGGCCCCACTGCGGATTGACGGACTTCACATATCTTTGAAATATTTTTTTTGTTATTATCTGTAAATTATGCAGAATTCCTCGCGATGTTTTCCTTCACCGCTGATCACGTGATAATAAAGCACTTAAATTTAACAATTTCATCGCTGCCGGCACCGGGAATCGAACTCGGGTTGCTCGAGTATATTCACTTGAAGGATATCCCCCAAAACGGAGCTGTCGTGGTTGTTAAATTTTATTATTGTGAATAGTACAATAGAAATCCGAAAAATTAATTATAAAAAATCATGGCATAAAAATTGCGTGGTAATTTTAAACGAGTATCAAAATTATTGATGTTTTTCTGGGAAAAGTCTTTAATATCCGGTAACAGACAGATAATTTTGCTATGCATCTATAACTGCTTCTATGGCGACTGCTTTTCATAAAACGTCATCGGTGCGTTCTATCCCTTTCAGTACAAGAATATGACAACAAACACATGTAATCAGTCTTAGGATTGCAGTTATTTAGAACAATTGATGTATTTCTAACTATTTTCATCTCTAATAATGTATGTACATTAAGTTGGCGTTCAAATAATAAAATAAAAATAAAAAAGCAGATTGACAATAGATGGCGCCACCAACATTTGTATATGAGTATTAGGTTAGCCTTAAACATGACATCAAATCAAAGCGATTTCACAATCATTAATTTGGTATCGCCTTAAGGGAGATATAGCGTACCGACAAAAACACTCTAAAATAAAATATACGAATTTTGATTGATGCACGAATTGATCGAGAAAGTAACGCGCCTTCACGGAATATCAGCGAGAGGTGTATGTTGCTTTCGCGTTTCGTCTAGTGAGTGAGGTAAGCGAAACCCAATGTTTTTAAAAACTGGCAGCGCATCAGCAAATCCTCAGGTTACCGTAGATGTCATGGTGATGTGATGATCGCTTATCGACGTTAATCGCTTAACATAAGGTGAACACTCTAATAAAATGAATAATTGACTACACAGATGGTTCAAGTAAGTGACAGAAAAAAATATAGAAATCACTATAATATCTCGATTGTTTTGATGGGCGTTATCCTGGGCTCACTAATAGATGGCGCTGTATGGCAAGGGACTATCGTTACGGCAGAACGTTGTTTTGTTTGAATAAAACTTCAGTAGACTTCGGCGTCGTCCGGTAATTATAAAATTACAAACAGATCATACATTTTTGGAGCCCAATTTTCAAAAGGTTGTCAACGCATCTGCAAACCCTCGGGTGTAGCAGATGTTTATGGGCGGCGGTATTCACTTAACATCAGGTGAACCGTCTGCTCGTTTGGCAACTTTTCACATAAAAAAAAAAAAAAAAAAATTTATAGACATATTGCCTTTTCACGCAACGAGTTGCTGTTGCAGATGACGCTGACTCAATAAATCAGTTTCAAAAAGCAAACTTTTACATAGTGTTGTAGACGTATGAAAACAAGTGTGTTTTCAAATGCAATGAACACAAAAAAATACTCAAATATCAATGATGGTGAACTTTTGAACCGAGTCCAACAATTCACAGTAATCTTGTGTGCAAAAAGCACATTCAATATACAGGAACTGGCTAGTCACCCCTTTGTTACGAATACAATAAAAAATATTGCGCAACCTAATGGGAAATATCAAGACGCTGTCACACTCGAGCGGTTGGTATCTTTCGCCGGAGGGAGCCGTTTATTATCTCGGTCTAACTTGCGTCTTGGTGAAAATTTAATCCTAAAAAGAAACTACTAACAGCTCTGTTTGTTGTTCAAGTTATGATAGTGAGTGATAGTGAGTCCAAAGAAGTGGTTTTTCAAGAATTATCAATATAACATGCTGTATATGAGCTATTGATAGGAAAGAGTATGTTGGTATGTATCTACACCGTTTTCGATGAACATAATACGTATAATAAAATGAAATGCTCTTTTTAAGGAACTTGTGATAGTGACATCTACGGGAAAAAGTTCGAAGCTAGTTTTATTGAGAGGTTAATTTTATTTTAATGATAGATTTTATTTAATTAAATTGCAACACGACAGTCTTCTAAAATCGAAACGCAAAAATAATCAAGACCTTCAAAGATGATTTAAATATGACATTTCAACATACAACAAAATATGACAATCTTTTTGTATTACTTTTTCACATAATATTTACATAAAAATTTTTAGTTGTCATTTTCTGTATACTTACCGTTTTGACTTAAAATTTAATCAAAATCTTTAATTAAATCAAAATCTAATAAAATGCACACTTCTTCCTTTGAATGGAATGCAAACATTAATTAATTATTTTTCTTTTTAATATTTAAAACGATTAGAAATACATAATTATCTTGTATTAAATAAATTGAAGCACTGAATTGACTAATCACCAAATGGCGAGTGTAGGTACTAAAATAAAATAGTTTGACAGTTCTGGAAAGGTGATTGTTATGACAAAGTACGACAAATATTATTAAGAAATAAGTATTCAATTATACTATGGTTATTTTCATGGTGTTTAATTGTGTATTATTAATTTACTGTGTTTTAATTATTTCAAATATATTTATTGTTTACTATCCATGTGTGAATAATAATCTAAAAAGGGTCTATTGTACATTGAGTTATGTAAATAATAACTCAACGCTATTGTGTTTATTTGACCTCGGCAGTGAAATGGCGGTTTTGTAGAATTCGGCACGTTTTTGCGCTGCATTATTGTTACTAATTTACATATCATTTGAGTGTAATAACATTGTTCCATAATCTTGTTAGATTAAATTATACATCCTGTTTGTTTTGAAAGTTAAAAAACAATGATCAGAAAAACCTAGTTAGAAATGAAGTTTTGAATTCAGTTTCGACCGTTACCACTTACCAGATAAATTCTGAGTGGTTGTGTCAAAGTGGCCTGAGAATGCGTTGTGCTTATATTATTTATGGGATCATAAAAATAGCCAATAGTAGTATGTCCGTTTTATGGTGGTTTGAAAGTTTGTGGTGTCAAATAATTTAAGTTTGTGGCATAATTAAAAAAACGTTTTAGGTGTTTTAAAAGTATTGAAATTTAACTTTGGTTCGAGTACGCAAAAGAAAATTAGATCATACAGCTGTCGATGTATTTTAAATAGGTACTCTGTTTTGATAGTTTAAATTGTATCGTAATCGGATTGATTGAATTGAATGGGTACGTTTCACATAACATTACTTCACTTTGAGTTTGGTGCATAACTGTAACGTTTAAATTACATTTGTTTCATTTCCTAATTGTTACGTTAAGAAGGTAAATTGATTAATCGATATGATTTGATATTTATTTATTTCTATAAAGCATTTATATCTAATTAATGTTAGTTAGTTAGATATATGTGTACATCAAAGACAAGATTCATATTGGAACTCTAGAACAGGACACCTTACGAATCAATACAGAAAAATGGTCAACGCGCTTCAACAAGAGCCAGTTACAGTTACAAGTTCCGACTCTTTCAACGTAATCTTTTTGTTGTCGAACAACCTGCGTTGTGTTGTGTACACATTCTACGCGCGATCGAAAAACGTCTCGAGGCGAATTACTCTCGGACGCGAGATCCGGTGAACTTATTATGTGGTGAGTGAGGAGATTATTTTACTAAGAGCAATTTCTTTTCGAAGAGCAAAGATTTTCTTTTCGTGTGTTACCATCCTGCATATTATTGGAAGTATGTGACCATCCGAAGCCAAAGAAAAGAAGAAGCGAAGAAGCGAAGACGTCATGAAATAATACAATATATAATAAACTTTAATCAGAAAAAGTCTACGTTTACATTCCTTCAGCGGGGAGTAATTATTGTTCGGTTGTGGTCACCGCTGACGCTCTGATTGCACGATCATCCGAGTGGTCGACGATCGCTGCTCGACCCGCTGCGACAGCTAACTCGAGCGCTGACCTTTCTCTCGACGGGACCGTGCATCATATTCGTGGAGCATGGAGTCGCGGAGTAGTGCGCGCACAGATCGACGCCGGAATGTTTGAGAGCGTGGTGCCTGAGAGCGGTGGGGGCACGCACGGGCGGCAGGCGACGCGGCACGGCGAAGCCCTACAACAGGCTACGACATAAGAGGGGCTCAACCGTACAATACGTGTCGCCAGTACTGCAGTCGCGGCGTCGTCCGTCCCTCTCACACGCGGCCGCGGCGAGCGGGACGCCGCTCATCCTGTCAGCCGGTGACGTCACGAACGCGAGGGGCGCGCGGCGGCGCCCCGCCGCTCGCCGGCAGTGTTCGGCCGGCCGCCACACCGAGTGGACGGGTGCACAATGCGCGCGCGGTGAAAAGAAAACATCAACGATGCTGTTCGAGAGTCCCAACGCGAAACTGTACCCGGCGTTCAACATCCCGCCGCCCGTCAGGCTCAGGTGAGCGAGCGGCCGCGGCCACCCCTTGCGCGGGTGCCTCGGCGGTGGGCCCTAACCGGTGTCCGGTGACAGTGCGCGGCTTAGCGGCGGCGTCGGGAGAGAGCGAAATGAAAAGCGACGAGAAAAAAAAGGCATAACGCCGATAGAGTGATGTTACACCGGTCGGGCCGCGCGGATCGTCGATACGGGACGCCGCTACTCCTTTGTATTGCGGCGGTCCGTTGCAAAAGGCCCCACTTGGAGCCCTGGCCGGCGTCGGAATCGATGTTTTTGTATCGATTGCGAGCGCGGGCCGGAGCGCCCCGGCGTGGTCGTGCCCGCCGGGGGCCCGTAAACAAAGCGCGCCCCGTGCGCACGGCTCAACTAGTGCCGCGGTGCAATGTGCATGTGCAACGGACGGCTGTGTGGCCGCACCGGCGGACAGCTCCGCGCAAATGCGCAGTGGCTACACCGCGTTCGCGTATTCCATACGAACCGATTTCGACCTCACCCGCTCCCCTTCGGGAGAGAGCTGAAGGTTTTACCACTTCGTTACCACGTACAACGAACTGAGACGTTGTCTGAAAAAATAAACCTCGAGTGCTATAAAGAGTATGAAATTCGGAGGGATACAGAGGATTTTGTTACAATTCGTGCAATTACTCTCGCGAGTGACGTCGGGTCGATTATTTTTTTTGCGAACTTACTCGCAAAATGAGTTTCTGAGCACGTTTTTTCCCCTCGATACGCTTGGTCACTTAAATTACGATATATCGTCTGTTAGAGTGTTGACTAGTCACATGTATATGGATTTGTTTTTAAATAACATTTTGCTTTAAAATCGTCACGCAGTCACCATTCTCTTTGTCGACGGACATGACATACATACATATCCTCTATATACTAATAAAAGGAGATCCGATTTTTGTTCTGTAACACTGAAAACTACTGAACCGATCGGAATAATACTTATACCATAAGATGCAGCGTGTTTCGGAGAAGGTATAAATTATATTTACATCATGCAAATAACCGAGCTATCACAATTTTCGCGGACGATGTCGCGGCCGAAGTGCTTGTGTGTAATAAGATATTTTTGTTAGTGAACATGTTTATATGTACTTCAACGTGACATTCCTACTTACAACGGTTAACAATCAAATTTGTAATGGCTTTTTTATTGCCTCCTCGAAACTAATACAATATGCAAGCAAACGCGACTTTGTCCATTTAAAAAGCTAATGCGGTTTATTACTGTTTGTTTGTCCTTTAAAATGTTTTTTTTTAACGGTAAATGTCATTGTTTTTTATTCATTAATTTCGGCATTTGAATTATAATTTGAATACCAGAAATAACTGTGCTCAAGGTCTCAGTCTGTTAAAATAGGAATAATCTTGTAATTGGGCATCACTAGGACTCTAGATTTACATTAAGACCATTTATAAATGGGAATTTATTTGCAAGTGGCTATTAAACAGCTTTAGGTTTTTCGCGGTGTATAGAATCTTCTCTTTTCCTAATGAAAAAAATTGCTAAATTTTCTTCTCTTTGTCCTAAATGTATACCCCCATAGAACTCTTCAAGTCACGAAGTAAAGTGAAAATCAACACAAATACATATTTCTGTATAAGCCGTCTATAGTCTTCAAACGCTCTTTGACATGAATAAGAGAACTTCAAGAATCCTTAAAATTGAAAATTTTATTGCAAAAACAATCCAATACACAAGCAATTTTTCAAACGTCCAAGTTTATGACGCGTTAATTTCTTTTTAAAACGTTGCCCTCACTCTAGGATAACATTATCCTGTGTTGTAAGAACGTTTTACATACATAAATTTCACGTGGACAGACACCTAGATGCGAAACAACTATGTGCGGGTCACACAAATAGTTGTCCCGTGCGGGGATCGAACCCATGACCCTGACGCCGAAGTCAATAACTTGGCAACTGCGCCACTGAGTTATCAAATTGGACTGGTTAGAGGTTCCAGTTGATTCTTCTGGATAGTTCTGGATTACATTCCGCTAAAACTTCTTTGTCTACTGCACAGTTTGTTCCCTTAAACGACTACACGACAGGGTGAGGCAACAAGTTTCGGTTACTAAAACCTCTCAAAACTTGACTTGGATGCACACAAGTTATCACTTTCAGTTAATAACAAATGCATAATATGATTACATACAACAAATGCATAAGCTTTTCCCCTTTGGTTCACTAGCTACATTAACGTTATCAACATTTGTCAGGGTTTTTTTTTATGTGAAAAGTTGCCAAGCGAGCAGACGGTTCACCTGATGTTAAGTGAGTACCGGCGCCCCAGGACATCTACACCCGAGGGTTGCAGGTGTGTTGACAACCTTTTGAAAATTGGGCTCCGGCCACCTCACTCACCAGATGAAAGGCGAAAGTATTATACTTCCACTTCACGCCGGTCTTCTGTGAGGTCTTGGTGCTTACTCGGACGAGCCTGGCCATTCGTGCAACACCCGAGGCTGCTGCGTGGCCCTACCACCGTAAAATTTTTAATAATTTTTTTAATCCCTATGGTACCACGATTTGGAGTTCTGTGCCTGGTTATAATAGCAAATCTATCCGAAATCAAAGTTCATTCAAATGTAGTAAAGTTAGTAGTAGTTGGTCGTAAAACTGCCAAGCGCTTTTACTGGCGGTATCAGATGTATTGCAATTTATGCCATTTGTGCACCGTCTTGAATCTTCAAAACATTCTGTTTTGCAAAATATGTTTATGTGTAGTTAATTTATTGAGGACACTTAAAAGTAATATCATAAAAGTTTGTATAATATGGCCTGAGGAAGTTTTATTTATCTGTGCTCAGTTATTTAAAAAAAGCTATTAAAAGTTTTTAATCTTTGTATATACATGATGGTTCTTCCGACTATAGCCACGATACGGCCATGGCATTGAGACCGCAATGAAAATAAAATAATTATACTTCGTTTTGTTTGTGTGAAGCGTATCGTAAAAGGTTTTGCTTATATTATCTACGTTTTCGCGTAGTTAGCCATAGTTTGGGTGAGCCTGACTATTAGCTGTTGTAATAAACTGCGATAGCCTTCTATCAAATTACTTCCAACCATCAATGAAGAATAAATTTATAGAATTACCTTTTATTTTACTTTCACTAAAACCTACTCGTCAGTTATCTTAAAGATACTAAGTTGTTACATATAAATGTTGATTCAATGGATTAATCGGTAAATTTCTATCTTCATTTAAATCCAGAGAACGTATAGATTGTTTGTAGAGCATTTAGATATTTTTAACGATTTCAATGAAAAGCATACAAATTATCTAAGAGATGGAAGAGGATTTATTTATATATATCTACAGGTATTAAAATAATAAAGTTATACTTCTGAGTTTCGTCTGGTGAGTGAGGTTGCCGGATGCCCACTTCCCCCCCCCCCCTTCTTCTATAACATGCTAGCGGTATCGGAAAAAAAGGTACCCCCCCCCCCCCCTTCTTCTTCTATAACAGGGGGGAACCAGTCCCCTGTGGTTCTGGAGAATCCCTCCCTTGGCGGCTGCGACCAGATGACTATTCGCTTTCTGAGCGTAGGCGCTCAGGCTGCCCCACGTATTCTGGGGGGGCCAAATACCGCTCTCAACTCCCATTGCTCGAGGCAAACGTAGCAGGCTCACTTCGGCAACCCCTTCCACGCTCTCCGTAGATTTGTGCAACATCAGGGGACTTCTCTCCAACCTTAATGCCGTTCACTACCACCTAGAGACGGCAAAGCCGGCCTTGCTGTTCCTTACTGAGACTCGGATATCTTCTCCGGCTGATACCTCTTTCCTCTCCTACCCCGGGTACAAATTGGAACATTCCTTTGTACCGCGGGCGGGGGTGTGCGTGTACGTCAGAGAGGATATCTGTTCTCGTCGCCTCGGCAGTCTTGGAGGACGGGACCTATCCATCCTCTGGCTACGCGTAGACTGCGACGACCATCCGCGTATCTACGCGTGCCTATATAGGTCCCATAGCGGTAATGCCGAAACTGACCAACTCATTGAGCACATCCAAATGGCTACAGACTCCGTGCTGCAGCAGATCCCATCCGCAGAGATCGTGATTCTAGGCGACTTTAACGCCCATCACGCCGAATGGCTCAGTTCACGCACCACCGATCATGCGGGGAGATCTGTTCACAACTTCGCAATAGCTTATGATCTGACACAACTGGTCAACCCGAATCCCAGATGTGGAGGATCATACACCTTCCCTGTTGGACCTTCTGCTGACCTCGCATCCGGACGGCGGTCTTGTCAGGAGTACAGTGCCCGTTGCGCGCTCTACACGGCCTCGCTTCGCAGGCTGCCGCCGCGTATGGCACTATAGGTCAGCAGATTGGGACGGGATGCGGTCATTCTTTGCGTCCTACCCATGGGGGCAGATTTGCTTCTCGTTGGATGATCCAGGCGCCGTGACTCTGTCACCGATGTGGTGCTTCACGGTATGGAAATGTTTATTCCATTTTCTGCAATACCCATCGGTGGCAAATCCCAGCCTTGGTTTGGTCGTTCCTGCAAGACGGCATTACGCCGAAAGTGGGAATGCTACCGAGCCTGGGCTGAAGCTTCGGCGTCTAGTGATGTAAAGACCAGCGCATTAAAAAAGGAGTATAACTCTGCTTCTAGGTCCTTCAAAAGCGTTATTGCTAAAGCGATGGCTGAGCACATTAGCAGAATTGGCGAGAGATTGGCGCGTCTCCCATCGGGAACAACGTGCGTTTTGGTCTCTCGCCAAAGCTGTCTTAGGGAATTTCTGTAAGTCATCTTTTCCACCCCTGCACACGGAGGATGATTCGTTGGCCCATGCCGCGAAGGAGAAAGCCGATCTTCTGGGCTCTCTCTTTGCGTCCAACTCGACTTTGGATGACCGAGGAAACTCACCACCATCAATCCCCCAGTGCGACGTTACGATGCCGGAGGTAAAATTCCGGCAAAGTGCAGTTCGCAAAGCACTTCTTTCCTTGGACATTCACAAGTCGAGTGGGCCTGATGGCATCCCTCTGATCGTGTTACAGACATGTGCTCCAGAGTTGGCGCCGGTTTTTAACGCGTCTCTTCCGGCACTCCTATACTTTAGGCGTAGTCCCGAAATCATGGAAGGCCGCGTTAGTGCACCCGATCCCTAAAAAAGGCAATCGCTCTGATCCGTCCAATTACAGGCCAATAGCCATCACCTCCTTGTTCTCCAAGATAATGGAGTCTGTTATCAACGGCCAGCTCCTGCGGTACCTAGAGGAGCACCGGCTGATTAGCGACCGCCAGTATGGAATTCGTCGGGGTCGCTCAGCCGGTGATCTTCTGGTCTACCTTACACATCGATTGGCAGAAGCAGTTGAGAGCAAGGGGGAGGCGCTTGCAGCCAGTCTGGACATAGCGAAGGCCATTGATCGGGTATGGCACAAAGCGCTTCTTTCGAAGCTGCCTTCCTATGGGCTTCCCGAGAAACTATGCAATTGGATCACCAACTTTTTGGCAGATCGGAGCATCAAGGTCGTC